TGCTCAGAAAACCCATCTAAAACAGCAATACTATTGCATTTAATGTTTACATCTAGCAACTGACAGAAGTTCTTTAAATATAATCATGCAAAGCATTCTAAGTATTGTAGACCAAAGCTCAGGCATTTTTTATATTGCAGAATTTCAGTACCTACTTTGCATGAGTGAGGTCTAAAAGAATTGAATGTTAAAATGTTAAGAGAGATGTGTGGAGGCACTTGGAGGTGGTGGGGGGAAGCCAATCTGGAAAACCAAGATCCCTTCAAGTTCACTGGGACTTGTGCTTTGGCACATTGTAAGTGCTTCTAAAAATGTCACTGAAATATGCATAGTAGTATTAATTAAAATTACTGCCTTCATTACAAAAGTGATGCTGACAACCAATGCTGCTCTTGTCTGGAGTGTTCCTGTAGAACGTGATATTCAGTATTATTTTCCATTTGGGCAAAGCAGAAGGTGGTGTTGGCTAAATGTGGCAAAAGACTCTTGTTTCCTGCTATGAAAAATTAGTGTTCATCATAGATCTTGCATTTCATGTGTTTTTTAGCCCTGAGTTTTATACCAAAAACAAAGCTGCTGCTTTTTTTTTTTAAATCACTGTTGCAATTTGAAAGGATTGTGACCAGGTATCTTGGTGTAATTATGGCATCTTTCCAACTTGCTGCTCTGCATCTCTAAATTATCTGGGAGAGTATATGAAATAATTGTTGTAAAGATTTATAAATGATATGGAAATGGTATATAAATAGTATGGATTAATTATTGCCATTCTGTTAAAAAAAATAAAATCCAAACTCTCATATTTACATAAAATTTATAAAAATCCCCAAACCAACAAACCAAAAAACCTGCAGAAATCATGACCTCCGTGAGGAGGGAGCAATGACTAATTATTTAGGAGTGACTCCTATGGTAGAACCAGCTAGTGAGTGGATGTTGGATGAGAGGGAAGCAGAGTTTGGGGGGAAGGAAGCTCTGCTGGTGTGATGGCATCAGAATAACAAACCCATTTCTGATGCAGTGCCTGTTTTGCAACAGTGCTAAAATTGGAAAGGCTTTTCAGAGAAGATAAAGTAAATTACTGTTTAAGAACTCTATTAGCATCTTTTCTGTTAGTTTGTATCTGTGGGGGAAATGTCCAGTAGCACGTGCTCTTTTTTGGACAAAAGCATAAGGTGTTTATGTCCTAAAGCCAGGTAAGATGAAAAACAAGCTCAGATTGTTTGAGCTGAGGCTGACCAACCACTGAGAAACTTATTGAGAGAGATACTAGATTCTGTATGCCCTGAGGTTTTAAAAATGAGGTTAGATGACTCTATTTTAAGAAAACCCAACAAATAAATCCCCAACCAAACTAAAACATGAAAGACCCTACACAAATAGCAACTATTTAGTAAATGTATTTTAAAAAATATTTCATATTGTAGAAGTGGAGAAAAGGACTGAATAGTCAATTTTATTTTAACTGCATAAATGCAAATAAGATTTTGTAACAATTTATTTTTAGGTGTGAAAACCTGTTCATGGGAAACCTGCTGAAATCTTATTTGATGACCCAAATCATGCAAGCTTGATTCTGGTTGGGGAAAGATTCTAAAATTGAAATAGTAGCTTAATTCAAGAAGACCCTTAAATCACTCTGATCTATCCCTCTCTTGAGAACAGTTCATAGAGTACTTTCTGTAGACATTATTCTTGTATCCTGTAAACAAAGTAATCATCTTTTCATTGAATGTTCTCAGGGTAAATCTTCAGAAGAAAATGAGTTGAAACATGTTCATTTAAAATGGCAGTGTGAAATGTCCAGTCCTATGTGATGCTGTCATTTAATACATTGGATCTTGAAACCAATACTAAGTTTGAGCAAGGTTTTATTGGTTTCATACTTTTTCAGTAGGTATGAGATCCTTTTAATCTAAAGAAAACTGTTCAGCAAAGAGTCTGAAATAATGGAAGCCCTTTGGGTTCTTAATTACATCTCAGCTATGCAACAGGATCCAGTGTGTAACTAATAAAGTATTGTTGGATTTGTCCTGGCCACCTTTGAAGACCTGTACAAATCTCAGACCCAGACTTCAAATTATAACTTAGTTAAAATTTCTTGCATCCAGGTCTTTGTTCAGCATTAGCATTTAAATTATTTTTCTAATTTGATTTCCAGTGACAATTTATTGGCCCTGAAAATTACCCCCATGAGTCAAAGATGCTGTAGCTGTTCTGTGGCCTTTCTTCAGGGTGTATTTGGCACCAGATGAGATAGACAACTGACTCTGTTCTCCTTCAGCCCTTCATGCACCATGTGTGGGCACGTAATTCTCCTCTCCCTGCAGAGACACTGGAATGTCAAGCTGATGCCCACCACATTGGAAAGGGGTGGTACTTTCCAGCCTTCCGTGGATGAAGCCTTTGAGCAGGCACAGCCTGGCAGAGCAGGCAGGTGTTGGAGAGGTGAGAGGCAGCTCTCAGGGTACCAGATGAGTGCTGTGATCACAGTTCGTGGTGGGAAAAAGGGACACTGCCATGTTAAAGCAGAAGTGCCCTGCTCAGTTCCTTGCCTCGGGCAGTGCATGCCAAAGGGACAGGAGGTGCTTCCTTGCAGCCCCAAAGGGTCTGTGTCAGGCTGGGAATCAGTGCTACGATCCTTCAGGCCATCCATTCGGCTCGGTTTACACAGCTGGGCTCTCTCTGTGCTGGCACGGGGCAGTTCCCAGCCTTCACAGCTGGGCTCTCTCTGTGCTGGCACGGCCTCGCTGCTTGCACAGGGGCTCAGCCGAGCCCTCTGAGCAGGGAGCAGAGGAGATGCCCGGTCTGGGGCCCAGATTCCCCTTTGGAGAGCTGGAAGTGTTACAGAAGTCAGAATGCACCCCCTGCTATTAAGAGTGTGTGTGTGTATCTGTCAATACAATGTATTTTGACCAGGGCATGCACAAACAGTCTGCATCTCACTAGAGGATGTTCTGAAAAGTGAGAGATGGCTGGGGAAAAGCGATGCCTTTCTTTGCGTGCCTCCCTGTTGACAAGCACAGCACCAGTGGAGTTCCAGCCAGCCAGTGAGTTTCTAGTCATGTAAGCTTTGGCATATGTGCAGTATGCCTTCTAGTCTATAAATATCTTGTGTCAACAGTTGTAATGCTTTGGAAGTCCATATGCTAAGATTAGAGTGATTTTGTACTAAAATGTTTGCTAATATCGACAACACCGACATGTTTAAGTATCTTTATAGACATCATATTTTGTATGTTGTTTTTGATGTTAAAGGGTACACGTTTTGCTAGCCTTAACTCCAGTCTTTCAAGTTCTGCTTTGCTGGAAGGGTAAGAAATGAATGTTTAATGTTTTTTGTGGTGCTAAAGTAACTGTGATCAGTCTCAAATTATTCAGAATAAATATGGTAGTTCGTAAATGCCCCATTTGTTACGCATGCATCATTTTTAGTCTTATTCTTGTGTAAAACTTGTCATTTTGAAATGTATTTTGTTGTATTATTGAATCTAGTGTGAAGACTTTTATACAAAAAGTCTTCACAGCTTTTTTTGCCACTGTGGCCTGACTGAAATGTTCCCATTACGTTTGCTCCTACATTAATATGGTGCAACCCATTTCATTCTGATTGCACTGACAACCCATCATAAGACTAATGATTTAAAAACCTAAGCTACTGAGGTGCTTGTTTCTGAAAAATTAAATTAATCTTCTCTCTTTTCCATTCTGGGGCTTTATATCAAACTTGCAGAAGCAGTTGCATTCAGAAAAGGCAGAAGGAAAATTGAAGGAGGGAGGGAAACTGGTACAATAAGCTTGAGTGGTGTTTTAAAATAGTTCTGATTTTGCTTCATTAACTGCCAGTAGAAGTCAGTGGGACCTTTAATAATTTACTGGCCTGCTACCAATTTCCCTTTGACTTACCTTGACTACCCGTACCTTCCCTTGCCTTACGCTTCGTGAGGCATGAAATGTTTCCTCATTGACAGCCTCAGTAAGTCCCAGAAGTTCATTCACCTTTCCTTTGTAGTAGAGCCAAATCTTTATTTCCTTTAATAAATTTGTCTGATAATATGGGTGAAGTATTCCCATTTTACCTGGGGTTATTCCCTAGGCTGCTTGTAGTTCAAAATAAAAATTGAAAAAGATGCCCAAACCCTTTTATAAGTGCCTGGGTGCTGTTGCCACTTGTACGCTGTCCATGTACAAAGTGTCTTTGTAAGTGTAAAACAGCAGTGAGGAGAAGCCTGGGGGAGGCATTTCAAACAAGGGAAAATGCTAACATCTAGAAATGTGGTCTGAGTTGTGTGTGACTACTGCTATTTTGTAGTTGAAATTATTATTTTATCTGGAATTGTCTGTACCGCTGGGTGTATGAACAGAACCTCAGCAGTTTTCTGCAGATGGTACAGACTGCACTCCTCCAAAGCTAGGAACGTGGGATCGATCGCGTTTAAATATGTTTAAATATTGTCTGGCAGTGTTACTTGTAGCAAGCAGGCACCTTTTTTTTTTTTTTTTTTTTTGTAATGTGTCAATGCACTCAGGCTATCCTGAACAGGAAGGGGCTTGCAACATGCTTGCCAGTGCCAGGAGAAACGGGAATGGGTTGCTCACTGTCCATGCACTGCTATAACCCGGTATTACTTGTTAGGAACAACGAGCAAAACAAAGCAGCGGGGTTTGGAATTGTCTTTCGAGTTGTTTGCGACACTTAGGCTCTGAGTGTCACCGTGCTTGGTTTCTTAGAAGGAGCAGCAGCTCAGTGCCAGACAGGGAGCACAGTCTGGGAGCTGCTCCACGTGAGTGGTAGGAATTGATGTAGTTTTAATGCTTAAAACTTTTAATAGCAGCCCTGTGTTAATACCTGTGCTTAGCAGATCGAGCAGCTCTCTCTCTCAGCTTTATCACCGTGGCATAACGCGGTGCTTGTGGAAGGCAAAGACCGTTTATGATCGGATGACTGAAAGGTCGAGTGCAGTTTGAGTGATAACACAGATTAAAAATAAATGCTGGTTTATAAGGGCACTTCCTCGGGCACCGTGGCACACACTTGCAGCGGTGCGGAGTGTCAGCTGCCGCGGGAATGCCGCTCCCCGGCGCCGAGCCCTGCTCCCCGGAGGAGCCCCCGGCGGAGGAGGAAGCGGCGGCGGCGTCCCCTCGGGCCCGGAGCGGCCCTCGGAGCCGGCGGCGGGAGCCATGGCCGAGGCCGATCGGGAGCTGCGCGTCCCCTTCATCGAGGCGGAGGAGACGGAGACCGAGACCGAGAATGAGGCGGAGGCAGCAGCGGCGGCGGCGGCGGGGGCCGGCGGCGGCTGGCGCTGCGGGCGCTGCCCGGCCGGGGCCGCGCTGCGCTGGTGCATCACCGGGACGCTCTGCGCCTCCTTCCTGGGGCTGGTGAGTGAGCGAGTGAGCGAGGGCGGCCCCGGGGCTGCGGGGGCGGTGCGGACCCTCCCGCGGAACCAGCGAGGTGACACCGCACTCTGCCCTGCAGGGGATGAGCATCGCGGTGCTGGGTCCCACCTTCCCCACCCTGGCCGCCAATGTCGGCAAGAACGTCTCAGACATCTACTACATCTTCGTGGGCCGCTCGCTGGGCTCCCTGGGCGGGTCGGTGGTCGGCGGGGTGCTCTTCGACTGCATGAACGCCGCTCTGCTGCTCGGTGAGTGCTGCCCCGCACCGCCCTCTCGGACAGGTCCGGGCCCTTGTGCTCCCGCAGCCAGCGCGGCCCACAGGGAGGTGCGGGCCGAGCCCCGGGAGCGGGAGGCCCGTGGGATGTGGCGCTGTTCCCGCAGGTGCCCGCGGGCTGGTGCCGCTGCCGGGAGCGGGACTGGACGGACACAGTCTGCACGGAATGGTTCGCGCTGGAAACAACAGCTGGCCTCCTTTCAGTTTGCATCAAGTGATGTGCACAGTGTAGGTGCTCTCGGAATGTAGCAGGCTCCTGTAGCGGCACAGCACGTGGAACAGAACAGGAAGCTGTGCTGTGGCTGCCGTGCGAGCAGCGGAAACCTCCGGCATCGCGCTGAGGGCGCATTTCTGTGCGGGAGCTTCCCCTTCCCTCTACACTCGTCAGGCACGATCAGCTTCGTGTACTGCGGCTTCTGACTGGAGGGCCGTAGCCAAATGTTAACTTATTTACAGTGGGAAACATGAATTACTGTTAGTAATGGTGGAAAGTTTAAGCTGTAGGAACCACAGCTGATGACTTTAACAGTTTTCTGGACTTGTAGAAACTTGCTGCTGACCGGCTTTGTCCAGGCAGAGCGAGGCTGCTCAGCCATCAGGATCCAGGAGCCACACTCAACATCCAGAAAGGAGAGGCTCCTTTCAGAGCTGTGTTAGTGTCTCATTCCCACACTGAAAACAGTGGAAGCCCCTCTTCTTTATTTCAAGTGCCTTTGTGCTCTAAGGTAGGGATTAAAATGTGCACCAGGGCTGGCTCTCCTTCTCCTGAGTTCAGGGAACCGTGCCTCCCTTGAGACCCGTGCTGTAACCATATGGTCAGTTCAGGTGAGATCCTTTTTCCTTTGCTAGTGCTTGCAGGTGTGGAGTGGGTTTCCTTTAACCTCCTCCTTGTGCACCTGGCCAAGTCAGACTTTGCCTTCTGTAATGGAATCAGAGCACACACCTGTAGAAACATATATTAACTTGAAATAGTTTAGTATATCCTTCTTTCCCATGCTTGGGAAATGATGGAGCTCCTAATCCTTTCCAGTTTGGTAGTGCTTATGGCAAGACCACAATTTGAACCACTGAACCTGTTCTCATTTTTATCATCCGAGGGCTGCCTGTAAGAGATTTTGGCTTGTGTAGTTTTGCCTCCCATCTTTCAACTGCTGGAACTCTGCTACAGAGAAAAAACTCTATACAGAGGAAAAATTGAAATCATCATCTGTGTTTGTCAAGGAAATTTTTAAGTGCTAATCATCAGGCATAGAGCTGAAGTGGACAACTGAGCCCTTGCTGAGAAGTTACTTCTCTGAGTGTGGCACCTGAGGAGCTGCACTTACACTTCGTGTTCCCAGCCTGTAGTGTTTGCTTCATGCAGCTCAGCATGCACATCACCTTCAAAAATGTTTTGAGGCATGTATTCCAAGTATCTTGCTAGGTCTTTAGGGTTCTGGACATTGTTGCTGGTTTCTTTTGGAATCAACCTGATTTCTTAATTACATGAGCCCCCATTGATGTTTTAAGTATCTGCTGCATTTATCATGTATTGATTTGAAACATAATAGAGACAGCTGGTGCAAGCTTTCTAAGAACCTAATACTGTCTGTTCAAGATATTAATTGCAGGTTGTTTTATTATGGAGGCAATTACAAGCATAGAATTGAACTGCTGAACTTCCTCCCAAATGGTAATAAAAGCAATTTCCGTCTGCTAAAAATATTTTCTGAAATGGCATGTTGTAAGTGTAGCCAATAATGGCAAAACGAATACAGTTAATGAATTGCTGCTAAATTTATGTATGAGAAATTTTGTAGTTCTGTGTAAAACTCCAGAAATCCCTTGGAATACATCCCTCATGTGAGAACAAAATATAAATAAAAGTCAGCATCTTTTTATGAAGATCACTTAGTGGGCAAGGTACAATTACTTTTATAGGATTTTTAAGAGCTTGGTTATTTGGGTTCTTTTCAAAATGGAGCCAAATTTAATGTTGTGCAGTTCTCAGAGGACAGGCTTGAGACTGTTCAAACCCATGTTTTGCTGGTTTCACACTAAAGTCACATTTCTAAATTAGAACTTTGCAGAAGACATCTTAGTGACCAACAGGAGCTACCGCTCTCTTTGCTTTAGCCAAAGAAGTTTGTCATGCAGACTATACCCTAATGAAATTCCTTTTTTTTCCCAACTAAAAATGATCTGTTAAACTTTATAGCTGCTACTGCTAACCACAGATTGAGGTATTTACATTGCATCATTATTAGGATTATCTGTAACTTTAGGAATCATGAATTTATTTGTATTTCTTGTTCTTCTGTGCTATTTAAATGGAAACTGTAGTATGTGAGTGTTTTGTTTTTTAACCTTTCCAGCCTTCTCCATGCTTGGAACAGCAGCTGGTCTTTATGCCATACCCTGGTCTAAGGAATCCCTGCTATTGACAATCTTGATGTCAGTTATTGGAGGTTCCATGGGAATTCTGGACACAGGTAGGGGACCCTGTGCTCTGACAGTTCTTTCAGCAAAAGAATTGGAAACTTCAAGCATACCAAAACCGTTGCTGGGTTTTTTTGTGATACATCTTGAATTAAAAGAGGGGAACTGTTTTACCTGGCTGTGGTTCTTGGGTTAGTCTGGTCCTGAGGCTTCCAGTGTTTGTGTGTGTGTGACAGGCCTTCCTTTAGGGGCTGGGGAGTAGGGTATCTCTTGCTTCCTGGAGAACATCAATTTGAATTTCAGTGGGCCATTCATTACAGGCATAAAAAAGTGCCCTGTGCCCTTTAAGCAATGTTTTCTTTAAATTGCTCAATTACAGGAAGCTGGTCAGGATATGGTTCATTAGCATTAGCTGGGCCTAAGCTATTCCTGAGCAAAGCCTTGGTGTTGGAGATTCTTACAGCTGCTGTTGGCAGAGTTGCTCACCTGCAGCTGGGAGTTCACAGCACCGTGGTGCCCGTCTCCATCTCCCTGAATTAAGGGATGTTTTCCACCTTTGGCCAGCCATGTTTAGGTGGCTGGGAATACAAATTTGTTCTGTCCCCCAGATTCTAAGTCTGTGGCATGTGCATACTCCAAATGGCCTGGGCAAAACAATCCCAAAGCCAGCACTTTTGCTGGAAAGCTGTTCAAACCCAGTTTCTCAGCAGAGGCTTATCATTGGAGGAAGATGATCTTGGGGATCTTTTCCAACCTAAATGATTCCATGACCCTGAGATGTGCTGCTGAAGTGGCAGAGCAAGTACAGGTGTGGTCAGAAAGGTCAGTTGTACTGGAGGTGTGAAAAATGGACTCCCATTTTTCACTCCTTCCTCCCAGGAAGGAGTCCCTGGGCACGGCTTAGGCAGGGTGGCTCAGGGATGGCTGGCTCTAGCAGGCAGTTTGCATCAGGAGCCAAGGCCACAGCAAAGGGTTTGGGCACGCTTTAGATGCCTGGGAAATGCTGGCATACTTGCACGTGGAGATTGGGAAATGCCCAAAGTACATCAGCAGAGTGCTCTGCATTGCTGCAGCACGTGGTGCCACTCCTGGCACCTCTCCAGCGATGTCCCTCAGCGTGTGCTGGCTCTGCTGCCCTCCTGCAGGAGCCTGGGGATGCTTACTAACCAGCAAGGTACTGCAGGAGCTGGTTGATCACCTTCAGGGCAGGGTTATTTCTGAGAAAGAGCTGACTCACTTGTTATCCTGGCCATCCCAACAGGGATGCATCCCAGCCAGGGCCTGGCTAGGGTGGCTTGGCTGGCTGGCAACAAAGAGGAATGATGGCTGCACGTGTGAAGTGTCTGCCTTAATTCTGTGGGGTTTGAGGGAGCTCTGCAGGGCCCAGGATCCAGTAGTTAAGAGATGGTTTTGCATGGCACAGGTCATGTTAAATAAATTGAGTGCAGAGCTGTATTTGCTGCCTCTGGTAAGATTGTTGTACATGGCACTTGGTTTAAGAATTCTTTGTATGGGAAAATCTTGTCAGCCAATGGTAAAAATACCTTCAATGGGTGTACTGCTTGGCTGAGACCTCAGAGCCAGGGAGACTTCCCATGCTGAGCAGGAGTAGCAGAAGAAACTCACAGCAAGGCAAACCCACAGTAAAGCAAAGCTGAATTGGTTTGGAAGACTGCTGAGTGACAAGGGCTGCTGGACTGCAGCACAGGAATTAGATTACTGTTTGTTTTCCTGCATTCTTCTGAGGGACTCACTTCAAAACACCTCTCTGAGATCTTATTTCCTACCATTATTGTTGATCTAATGGTGTTGTAGTTTGGTGTTTACAGCAGTGTTGATGTTAAACCCTTCTGTTTCTGGAAAGTCATTTGAACACAGTGGGGTGGTGGGCCCAGCCCATCAGTAGCAAGTGAATTGTTGTTTTTCCTGGGATGTTGTTAAATGAGTTTTAGATGTTTTTGTTCCTTTGATTCTTAGCATTGGGCATTGTTGCTTTTGATACTTAAGAGAAATGAGAAGCAGTTAAATTTCCCTTTTAAAAAAGGCTGAAAAATGCTGCAAATTGTCAAGGAGGGTAATTAGAACCATAGAATCATAGGGTCCCTAAGTAGGAAAATGCCCTTAAGGTCATTGGGTCCAACCCTTAACCCAGCACTGCTGAGTCCAGCCTCAAACCATGTCCCTAATGCCACATCCACATGTCTTTTAAATACCTCCAGGGATGGTGACTTATCTGCTTCCCTGGGCAGCCTGTTCTAATGCTTAACAACCCTTTCCCATGAAAAAATTTTCCTAACACCCCATCTAAATCTCCCCTGGCACAGTTATGTCTGTCCATTGCTGCTGGATTAAGCCACTGTGCCACTCTTTGATTGCTCTGAATATCCTCTTAAAGTTCAAGTAATCACATGGATTTAAGGCAGAGTTTCAGTTAATTGCTGTTTTACACATTGTATTTGCTAAACCTGGCATTATTGTACATTGAATTAGCAATACAGGTGTCGGTTTGTTTTGTTTTGTTTGTTTGTTTGTTTGTTTTTTTCTTTTAAACAGTATCTGATCTTGGACTAAAATGAATCTTTTTCTCTCTGATCTGCAGGTGGCAATGTACTGGCACTGTACACCTGGGGATCAGACGCTGGGCCACACTTGCAGGCTTTGCACTTCAGTTTTGCTGCTGGTGCATTTCTGGCTCCTATCGTGGCTCAGATGGACTTGGGGACTTCTGAATCTCAAGAACTCGCAGGGGCTGAAAAGACAAACCAGTCTGTCCTCAAGTCTGTGCCGACAGCTGCATCGACTACGCCAGCACCGAATGAGCATCACAATGAAAGCTTTTTGTGGTCCTATATTTTCATAGGGACCTATATTCTCTTAGTTTCCATCTTCTTTTTTGCATTGTATTCAAAGACCAGCTCAACTAGAGACAAATCAAAGCCTTCTGCGCAGAAGGACAAGCTTGCCAAGTACCACTGGCCTCTAGTTGGTCTCCTCTTCGTGTTCTTCTTGTTCTATGTGGGAGCTGAGGTCACGTATGGCTCCTATGTATACACTTATGCAGTGGTCTTTGCTGAGATGAAGGAAAGTGAAGCAGCTGCTTTGAATTCCGTCTTCTGGGGCGCGTTTGCCGTGTGCAGAGGAGTGGCGATATTCGGAGCTGCCTTCCTGTCCCCTGCCACCCTGATCGTGATGAGCCTCCTGTGCTCTGCTGCCTCCTCCACAGCCCTGGCCTTCTTTGCTCACTACCGAGCCGCACTCTGGGCGGGAACCACCGTGTACGGAGTGTCCATGGCCACCATCTTCCCCAGCGGCATCGCCTGGATCGAGCAGTACACCGTGGTGGAAGGGAAGACGGCTTCTCTGTTCGTGGTGGGCGCGGCGCTGGGCGAGATGTGCATTCCCGTGGCGGTGGGCTATCTCCAAGGCAGGTACCACCACGTTCCTATAGTTATGTACACTGCCTTCGTCACTTCTGTAGTGACAGTCCTGCTCTTCCCCGCCATGTACAAACTGGCCACCTGGCCCCAGCAGCGTGACTCGCAAGGAGGGAGCGACAGGGAGACCAGGAAAACTTTGTTGTCGAACTCGAGGCTTACTGAGGACGAGGAGGAGGAGGAGCACGTGAGAGAGTGGAACGATGCAGACTTTGAGGTAGTAGAAATGAATGACAAGCTGACAGACTCTGTGACGGACACCTCCCGTAGGGTACCAGGGGACTCTGCAGCTGAAGTCTCTCTCCAGCCCCATCTGCACGATGCATCGGGCGATCCTCCAGTGGTTGCTGATGGCTCCCCTGGTAGACAAAATGGGATTGTCGACTGGGAGAAGAGTGAATAGAGTCACAGCTGACTTTTTTTTTTTTTAATGGAAATGCAATTGAATTGTAGCTGTTGTCAAGTGGTTCAGGAATCCTTTCATAGTGGTGCAGAGCTCAGCGTGTTCATTTTCCCAGTCCTTTCTCCTCTTTCATGTTCAGCCTGCAGGGATATGTCTTGGAGTGGGAAGGTCCTCAGTGATGTGAAAGAGGCAACATGACAAATGTTTGGCTATGCCAAAACTCTTAAAATATGAGGCATGCATCCTGTAGTAACTGGGAATGAAGGGGACTGCTCAGACTGCTCAGTTTTTTGAGGTGGGTGAAAGGTGCAGGTCTGAGATGCTTTGTCACAAAATGGTTTCATGAGAGAGGAGAGACATCTGTAACTGGTAATGCTGGAACTTGCTTACCTTGTGAAGGAGGAATGTTTCCACTGTGTTTGACAAGTGTGTGTGATCCAATCAGTTACAATTTCTGGTGTTGCCCAGCAGCTGTAAATTGAATAACCTTTTGGCAAACTATAGGAATTTTTGGTTCTGAGACAAAGACAAGAAAAAATTGGGAATTATTTCTTAGGCGTGAAACCGTGCCTTGGGTCACTTAAAAGCAGTTTATGAGAAAGGGCACAAAATAGGCCATTGTTTATCTGCTCAAATGCATAACTCCAACCTACTAAACAGTGGCAACAAATCTAAATAATCAAAAGTATTTCTGATTTTAATTATGGCACTACTGCTGAAATCAACAAATGTATGCAGAAGATGATACAATTATCATGTAATCTTTGAATGGTTTGAGTTGGAATGGACCTTTAAAGAGCATCCAGTTCCAACCTGCTGCCATGGCAGGGACACCTTCCACTGGACCAGGTTGCTCAGAACTCTAGATCTTTGAATGGTTTGAGTTGGAATGGACCTTTAAAGAGCATCTAGTTCCAACCTGCTGCCATGGCAGGGACACCTTCCACTGGACCAGATTGCTCAGAACTCTATCCAGACTGGCCTTGAAAACTTCCAGGGCTGGGGCATCCACAACTTCTCAGGGCAACCTGTTTCAGTGCCTCAACCCCCTCACAGGAAAGATTTTTTTTCCCTGGTATCTAATCTAAACCTCTCTTTCAGTTTGAAGCTTGTTCTATCACTACATGCTCTTGTAAAATGTCCCACTGCACCTTTTTTGCTGGCTCCCTTCAGGTAAAAGAGATTGCTTAATATATGGTATTTTTAAGCCAGTTGTTTAAGGTTACTGCAACTTCTCTGGTTTCCTGTCCCAAGACTTAGCAGGGTAATGTGTTACAATGAAGATTTGAGGAGAGGGAATTATCAATGAGACAATCCTTTCCAGTATGACTGCTTGCCCCTGGCCAGTTGGCTTGGTGACATCTGGGTTTTTTCTTTGGGGGATGACATGAAGATGGACTCTCCCTAGTGGAGAAGCAGTGGTTTGTATGTGAAGGTTCATTGGTGCTAAGCAGGAAACCCTGGGCAGGTGCAGCCAGGGAGACCTCCCAGTAAGAGCAAAAAGTAGCAGTAAATGGCAAAATCTGTCTTTGAACAGTAATCTTGCAATTTGTCAGCTTGGAACTCCAAAACAGTTAAGGATTTTTTAAGTCTGTGTGATAAGAATGTACTCTTGTTTGGGGTTTTTAACTTCTCACTTTTATTAGTATTTTTCTTGCTAAGAGGTTTCATTTAGTAAGAAAAGGGCTCTGGGTGTAACATAGCACAGAATGTTAGATGTTCCCTGGATTTCCAGCTCTGCTTTTCTTCCCTCTCTTGTCCTTCAAATATGCAACCTAGGCTTGAATGGCTTTTTCTTTTCTTCTGAGTAGTTAATAAGAAGCCAGAATCAACTTGTAGTTTTTTTGTTAATAGCTTGCCATGTTGCAGAGCCTCCCTCTCTTTCTGCTGCTGGCACTTAAATGCCACTGTGTTCTTGATGGATTCCTTCTGTAGCATCTTTTTCCAGTGCCATGCATGAACCTGCACTTTCAAGTGAAGCCTTGTTTCACTTTGCTTACAGGAATGGTGAATGCCAGCCCCAGTGCTGGCCTGGCCACAGGGGACAGGAGTGAGTCTGTGTGGCCCTGTGTGCTTTGCTGGTTTGACGTGGAAGCAAACACTGTGTTAGGCAGAGAGAGGGGATGGACTGGGGGCAGCTGGAGCCTGCATTGCACCGTGTTTCCTCTTCCCATTTTTCCTCCTGCACGCTGCTCCATATGTGTGGCAAGTAGGGGGTGTCAGCTGAGGGTGAGGGCAAATCCCACTGGTGGAGGGGCAGGGAGAAGGTGCAGGACACACAATGAAAGATGCAGAAACTGTTCTGTGGCAGCTCCTGCTGGACCTGCCATCCCCCTGGATTCATCTGTAGTGATGTCGGTGTAAAAAAGTTTCCCCATACTCGAGATCATGGTGCCAGAAGAAAATTATTTTAGGAAAGATACTGGGAAACCAGGAAGATTCTAAACTCCCCCACTTTATATGATAAGTTCTTGATGAAATTCCAGATTGCAATGTCCTACATGTAAGACTGTTTTCAGGGATAGTTTACATGGATAGTTTACTTTAAACTGTTTGCATAATCAAGTACTAAAAAAACCCAGAAAATGAAATCAAAGCTGCATTGGGAAATATGCTGTAATCTCTTAGAAGCTTATCTACTGCATATATACACTTATTTGTGTTTCTGACAAGCGTCATCCCAGCATATGTCAAAATATTCCACAAAACAAAAATTTATTTTATTTTTTCCTGCCTGTATTAACTCCTGTGTGAGTAACTTGAATTCATCCCCATTTCCTCCTTAAAAAGCAGGAGGCCTGTGTAGTAGGAATGGAGCGACAGGCTGGAATACCAAGGTAAGAGCAGCCTTTTCCCACAAATAAAGGATGCAAAAAGCAGTGGCTGTAAGACAATCTGAAGAATTATCTATGTAGAATCACTTTCCACTGATGTGTGGAGACCTGCCTAAATTTATTCAGTCATCTTAATGAGGACTTGGAGCCTACAGTGTCTTAGTTCTGGTCTTGAACTTGACCTGGGATAGACAGACAGAAAGGGTTCTCCTTATCTCCTAACCAGCCTGCTTTTAAATAGCAGGGGCTGCCCTTGACTGAAAATAAAGTGCTTGAAGCAATTTAAGTTTGAAACAAGATCTAGGACATTTCCAAGGATGAGTCCAGCTCATATCAATTCTAGGCACCCTCGATGGCCAAGGCTTAGCTCCCTGCTCTTGGCTTTTGTGTTCCTCAAGGCTTGTTTTCAGACAATGAATATTAGTTTTTCTCATGTTTAAATTTCCTTTCATAGTAAATTGCTTCCTGGCATCTACAGCTGAAGTGAGGATCTATTTACAATACAGATCTATTTTAAGTTACAGGTCCTCCAGAAAGCTCAAGTACTTACATGTTGGGGGTTGAAATTACTTGGAGTAACTATTACATTACTATTGCCCTGCTTATGCTAGAAAAGCCATCCCTCTGTTGAGGACAACAGCTTTAATCCATGAATTAGATACCTGAATTTGATAAGAATCCTATTTTTGTCCACAAACCCAGGAATAGTTTGAAGATGAGTGCTCTGCTCCAGTGTGAAAGGCAATCTCTTGCAGCTAAGTGTCATACTTTATTTATGCCGAGGCACTGCCAAGTGCTGGACTGTACTACAAGCACTTACTTCTGGCATTTGCACTTTTATTCTGTACGTGACCAATGCTTGAATGCAAGACCAGGCAAAGTTTTATGCCTTGATGTTTTGTTTTTTTAGAGTTACTTTGCATACAAGTGCATCGTAATCTGTGGATTTTCTATTATATATGTAACAGGTTTTTATTCTGCTTGGTGTGGGTTTTACATTGTACTGTGTAATGTGACATTTAATACACTGACTGGTATCTTGACTGTAATAAATTCTTATCTGGAGAAGGCACTCAGGTTCCTTGATGTAAATAAAGTTTTTTTCTATTTTTCAAACCTTCTCTGGACTTTTAAATTTAAAACTTGATCCTTTTCTGACAAATGGAAAACTTGAAATGGTTCTCTTCTGGTTTGGGGAAGGCCTCCAAGAACTTCTACTGATGTTTTAGATCCCAAAGTTTAAGCTGGATTCTTAACTTTGATTTGAGCAGTCTTGTTTTTACATTATTGTGTATGCCAGAGAAGGAAACAAATTGAGGGTAAATATTAAAAAAACCCGAATAATTTTTTACCATATCATTTTATTCAACTTTAATATGGTTTCCATTATTAACTTCTAAAACGAAATGATTTCCAGTTTAGAAAACAATGCACTGACCACATAATTCCTTTTCCATTTTATACAGTTATACAAATATTCTAAATACACATTTTGTCAAGATGGTGGCAAATAAGATTTAACTGTACAGTACGTAAGGAAAGAAAATATTTTAAGCATATTTAGAAGCAATAGAAATGTCTATACAAAACAAGCAAAAATGGAATAAAATTTTATATTTAAAGTATTGCAACAGTCCCACAGGTTTGTAACAAAAATGTCTTTGCACAGTTCCTCACAATGCCCCATTAATAGCTAAAGCAAGACAGCAATTTTTAGAAAATAATGTTTCAAAATGCTACACATGGTACTACTGCTTGCACAGTCTGATCAAAATAACAATCTACTTGGAATCAAGCAAAACTTAGGAGGAGATATACCAACCAACTTTAAAATTATCTGTATAAAAGTCATTGCACATTATTTTACTCAGTTGTTTGAAAAGTAAAAAAGTGTATTTACAAAATATTTCGCAGACAAAATTATAAAGTGAATGGAGAATATATAAGTAACACGTCTTGATACTGACAGTTCAAGAACACACACGAATGGTTTTATCATTTCAAGAGGTTTTCAGTGCTCCTTCCTCCAGGAAGTAAACTTGACTTCTACTTTGAAATGGATTTACAAGATGTTACACAGAGCTATTTCAACATCAGCATTATAAAACAGTATGTTAGAAACATGAAAGGAAGAAGAAATTTTTACATCTTAAAAAGTGAGCTATTCATAGACCAACAAATGGGTTGGGTTTTTTTTTTTCCAATTTAGTTATGGTAAGTGTTCATTGTTCTTCAGATAATAAACCCAACAGGTAAAATGGAAATCCTGGACTAGGTGAGAATTGAAAAAGCACCATGCACAATAGTCTTAGTGTGGTAAACACTGAAGAAAAAAAAAATAGCACCTGGGATCCTGTAACACAGATCATTTAAAACTGGTCAAGCAGCTGGCGGAGATAGGGAGCCTTTGACAGTTCTCTGCTCACTCTGGAGAGCTTGAAAAGCACTGGGCAGTTGAGGGAGACACACTGGATCTGCCGATCGAAGCAGCCTGTGCAGTTCTTGCATATCTGCATTACACGAGAAAAAGCAAAACAATTATTTTGAACAACACAAGCCAGGCATAAACCACTAGGGACTACTAAATCCTCACGCCTGTATCAGCAGAACAGGCACAGCCCTTCTGCACAGAGCTTCTCCCCAGCGTGGAGGGACCCACAGCAGCTCCCTCCTCTGCTTCAGCCTCTTGGGCTGCTGCCAGACAGCTCATTTGGCTGCTGCTGGGTGGCTGGCAGCATCGCCCACTGAACTGGGCACAGAGCAGCAGCAGGACTCTACAGCCTGGGTTTCAATCCTGCTAATTAAGTTCTACTTGCATGTGGTGGCACTTTTAAAAACAAGGTAAATAAGTTCCCTGGGTTTAAGCAGGGCAGTGTGTTCTATTTGTGATAAACTTGCTCTCTATGAAAGAACTCTTGTCCTGCAATTATTCTCTGCAGAGGAAAGGGACTTTAAATAAATTACTCATTTCAAGATAAGCTTTAATTAGAGTTTTACCTAGTCAGAGTCAATCAATCCCAACACGGAAATACAGAGGCCACAGAAGTTGCACTGCTCTTCTTGTTCAAGGAATTACTTGTTAATACTGCTTGAAAGTACTTTTAATGTGAGATACCCAATGGAATAAAATAGCAATAGGCACAGTTTTTCCAAGGGTAGTCAACTTTAGGAAACTAAAGGCCCCTGTTTTGCTGTTTTATTTTTAACCTTTGCAGCATTTGCCACCTTCAATGGTTTTTCCAAAACCTTAGAAATTTGCTTCCAACCACACCTGTTTGGTAACATTAAAATGTTACACAGTTTATCCAATCACATAGCCTGATCAACAAACCCAAATTGTATCCCTTTGCTTTTAAAACTAGTTCTTTTCCTTCTTTCCACCTTCCATGGTGATGCCAGGCTTGCATCAGCACCAAATCCCTGCAGACTGACAACAGCTGGAGAGGGGCAGCCCCTCCTGGCCACGTCCCACAGGTGGCACCTCAGAGGACACCAATCCTGTGACCAGAAGGAACAGGATTTAAACAGCTGGTTCCAGGTTTGTAACCTCAGAACTACACCTATCCTAGTTCTGAAAGAGGCTGTGGCTGGTTTAAATGCAAGGGACCACACTAAGTGGTACTTGAGACAAGTCTTGAGTTCAGTTTGTGTTGTGGGGAGAAGTCTATGGTTTTAACCCAGAGCATGTAATTTTTGAGTGCAGTTTAATGTACAGCTCAGTGTTATATCTGTTTTCTGCTGCTGCAGCATGTTTATAATCTCAAAGGGCTAAAAATTTAAGCTGTGAAGGATATGTAAGCCTTCATATTAAAAATAAGACAGGTGCTCTTACAGAGACATCAAACACTGACAGGAACAGGATCCCAGGCCTTGCTGAGCTGTTGTGTTTTGCAGGGACAAGAGAATGTTCTAATCAAACACACTGACCCTTCTGTGGGGCTGGACCAGCCTGCCAAGTTCTGCTTTATTTCAGAACAAGAGCAATGCAAAGGGTTTGAAGTACCACAGGAAAACAGCAGAACATGCAATTCCTCATTTCTGCCATTCACAATGCAGATAAGGGCAAATATTACAAAATACAGCAAGAAGTCCACACCTTAGTAATGAAATACTTATTAAGTGAATTACAGTGCATTTTTAGCAACCCCATGAGGACCTATCAAATCAATGCTTAGATTTAGGAACCTTTATATCCCTGACATTCAGACAAGTCTTTAAAATGGGTCATGTGCTAGTGCTAAAAAAAAAATTTAACTAAAATATTTATGAATTGTAAAATATGACAGTATGAAAATTAGGTGAGGGTATGCATATGTTTCCACAAGGGGAGGCACTGTGCTTTGCTGTAATAAATTCATGAGCACAGTCAGCTACGCTCTTAATTGACTTCTAGCTCAAGGGGAAAAAGCAGCTTGGAAAATTCCTATTGAGAGGAAAGGTAAAAAGAAAATCCCCAAGCTAAACCACATCCATATTTTACATATAAATAAATAAATTTTCTGACCCAAACATGTTTCTAGAACATCATCTGTTATTTTTGTTTCTAGAACATCATCTGTTATTTTAATGCAAAAAAGAGTGAATCTTTTACACTCTCACAGCTCTCTGTCATTATAAAAAGGAACCTACAAACCATATAAGGTACTCTTAAAAATCAGAAGAAAATGAGAAAAGCATCTTCTGTTCGGATCCCCTCCTTTGCCTTAGCTTTCCACAAAGCCTAGGAGAGTAACAGCTGCTGTGCTGCCTTCAACAGCAATGGGTAAAGCAAACAAGCTGCAGCACATTTAACACCTGAACCACACTTCCCATTTCTGTTGGGAGTATTCAGTAACACACTGCTTTGAAATTTCAGCCCCTGTCTTTTGCTGACAGACATCTGACAGTGCTTTAATCCTACCTGGACCAGCTGCTCCTGTTTACGCTCCAGCTCTCGGATTTCTTGGTTGAGAATCACTGCCACATGCTGTGGCTGGCTTCTGCATTTATTACAGATCCCATACTGGGTCAGTTCATCACACACAGGACAGTGTAAGGTCGTGAAATACTGGGAGATGGTGCCTTTGCGTCCTTCGAGCTCAGTGCAGGCAGCTGAGGCAGCCTTCTGAATCTGTCAAGAAAAATCATTAAGAGGTAACGAACTTCCAAGAGAGCAGCTTGCCTTGTTCCTAGATTACATAGGTTTCTTTTTTTTCCAAAGGAGTAAGAAAGTGCAAGACGGCCTGCAGGGCCTGGGTTCATACACAAATTATGAACATGGATCACAGCACTCTGAAGAGTGCAGCAGTGGCCCTGAAGTGATACACTCAACAGAGCCCTCCCCAACACCTATTTCACAGGGAATCTGTAACCAGAAAAATCCTTGGTCACACATCCTTAACTCCCGGTCTCACCTCAAACTCTGTTCCTGCAGCTGTTCCTTTTTTAGGTGCTGATCTGATTCGCATCTGAATATGCCCTGGCTGCAGCTCCAGTGGCTGCAATCTGGATGCTGCCTGCCCTTGAGTGTCTGTGCCAGGCAGTCCTGAGCACAGCTCTGCCATGGTGCTTTGGTCCATGGCCCTAGCTCATGCTCTGATTTCCTTGGACAAGGTTCCACCACTGGCCCATCACCCTGGGAGGTTCGTTCTCTGCACTTACTCCTGCTGCTGCATGACTTTTGCTTTGTTCTATCCTTCACTCTCCTGCTGCTGCATGACTTTTGCTTTGTGCTATCCTTCACTCTCCTGCTGCTCTGCTCCCTGTAACTTCCTCGCTGCTCCTTGGCCTTGCAGAAAGCCAGGGCTCTTTTTACCTTTTTAGAACAGCTTGCTGGAGATACTTAAGGTAGACTGCCATGGTGCCATCGGAAAGGTAAAGAAAAGAAGAAGAACTAAAGTCAATCAAGGCTGTACTGGGAAATACAGCTCTACTGCTATATTGCAGTGGAAACATGATGCATCACTATGCTGCTGAAGTCTGCTCTGAGCAGAGTATCCAAACGACAGGGCTCTTTTTACCTTTTTAGAACAGCTTGCTGGAGATACTTAAGGTAGACTGCCATGGTGCCATTGGAAAGGTAAAGAAAAGAAGAAGAACTGAAGTCAATCAAGGCTGTATTGGGAAATAATACAGCTCTACTGCTATATTGCAGTGGAAACATGATGCATCACTATGCTGCTGAAGTCTGCTCTGAGCAGAGTATCCAAACGACACAGATACACTGTCTTTCACCATCCCTTTTTGTCACTGGAATCACAAACTAAAATCCAGCTATCTAATACTTCTTTTCCTGCATCTCAGTAACTTCTTTAACTTTTACAGAAGTCATGTTTGGATATTATTTGCTTTAAATTTTGGTGATAAAATTTTTAAAGTGTTCCTGATGCTGGGGCATGCCACCCTTTCTATACAGAGAAGAGATAACATTTTGGAAAAACAGGAGCTCCAACATCTAATTTGGAGATTTAAAAACAACATCTAAAAAGAGATTTAAAAAGTGGTATGGCCAAACGGTACTGCTATATTGCAGTGGAAACATGATGCATTACTATGCTGCTGAAGTCTGTTCTGAGCAGAGTATCCAAACGACAGATACACTGTCTTTCACCATCCCTTTTTGTCACTGGAATCACAAACTAAAATCCAGCTATCTAATACTTCTTTTCCTGCATCTCAGTAACTTCTTTAACTTTTACAGAAGTCATGTTTGGATATTATTTGCTTTAAATTTTGGTGATAAAATTTTTAAAGTGTTCCTGATGCTGGGGCATGCCACCCTTTCTATACAGAGAAGAGATAACATTTTGGAAAAACAGGAGCTCTAACATCTAATATAGAGAGATTTAAAAAGTGGTATGGCCAAACAGATGCACATGCACATACTGCTAAAAATACAGAGTTATGGCAAAATATTCTCTTAAACTATAGAAGGGATCAGGAAACAGAGGATGACTGTGATCAGCCCTGCACAGAAGGGTTGAAAAAACTGATTTACTATGTGAAAAAAAACCCCACACAGAAGATCTAAGAATCAGAACTGCATATTTGAGCATCAAACACTGCTTCACAAAACAACCTTTGCTGTTGCCTCCTATCAACCTCATTCCACTGCAAGTCCCAACAAGGCCAAACACTGCACTTGCTGACTCTTGTTTGAAAACACTCACGCGGGGCAGCTCGTGGTACCAGCTGAAGACGTCTATGCCAATGAGCGAGAAGACCCTGGCCAGGGGGGGCAGGATCTGCTTGGTGATGTAGTAGGTGGCGTTGAGCCTCAGGCTGGGGTCCTGCAGCACCTCGAGGGGCCGGCGCACCAGCTGGATCAGGGGCAGGCCGGGCATGCCGCACACGATGACGTAGGGCACGCGCTCCCCGACGCGCGGCTCGGAGCGGCGGTCGTGGGCAAGCATCCTCCTGCCAAAACACATCCAGAGGCAAACTCAGAGTTGTTTCATTTGCCTGTAGGCTTCCCCATCTGATTAGATTAGTTGCTCTCCAAATGACTGGAGTCAGTGCCTATTATGAAGCACTGGACCAAAATGTTTCATTTTTCATTTGTCTTGTGATCGGACCTAAATTTTAGAACCTGGGGCACAAGCCCTAAAGACACTGTCTGTTTCAGGTCACTTGGATTTGCACGCAGACTGTTTTCTAGCTACCACTTCCTTAAAGAAATATTTTAATAAGGAACAGCCAGGGTACTAAAATGAGCTCAAGTACAATTTGCTTTCTGGTCAAATTCTGGTCCTTTGCTTTCTGAGATTGCTTGCTCAGTAGAATGATACCTGCTTCAAACTGAATTATCCTTTACTCAGAAAGCAAAGGACAATTCAATTTGAAGCAGGTATCAGTTTTGGACTTCGACGCTATTTTATTATAGGAGCATAGCTTAATTGGAAGACCTTTTGTATTAAGCAAGGTGACAATATGTTCCAGCTTACATTATCTACTTTTCTACTGACCAAGGACATCAGCAGGATGAAATATTAACTTTAAGTAAGGGACTTTATTAAAAACAAAAAACTATGCCTGGTAATGTATTTCACAGCACTAAGAGACATCTCTGTCACAATCTGTAACATATCTAATAACCAGGACTGATGAATAATCTTGGAGAGCACAGCCCTTGTACAAAACCCAAACTGTAAACAACAGCAGTGAACACATTACTACAGTGTCCTGACAAGACTTTCCTCTTGAACGTGTGGCTCTTTCCAGGACTATTCTTTTCACACACAGAGGAAATTTAAGGACAACTGTTTCAACAGTATTTGAAGAAGACATCTGACTGCTACCTGTAACTTGACAGTACAAAGGTCAAGAGAAAAAATATCCACCATCTGCTATCTAATGTGTCAATACAAAGATCAAGACAAAAAAACCTATGAGCCCATAACCTGTCAGCACAAAGGTCAAGATAAGAAATATCTGTGATTAGCACTTCTTGATCTCATTACCTGGTGATTTCCAGAGCAGGTACACAGGCTCCAGGTTTGTATGCTGAGCTCCCTCTGTACTCTTTTGCAAAGATGAAGTCCTGCATGCTGGCTTTTCCTTCCAGTAACTTCATGCATTGATTCTGAACATACTGCTTGATCTGACTTATGTCCCGTGTTTCAAATAGCAGCTTGATAGAACACTCAAGTATCTTTACAACCAAAAGAGAAAGGTGAGAAAAACATATATGTTTGAATAAAAAAGAATTAATTGCAATTAATTCAGTAAATAATATGGAAATACAAATACAGTCCTTAGAAAAAGTACCAGTGGTGAATGAGGATATTGATAGGTTGCAATGTCTTCCACTCAAAGACATCCATGAACACATTACTGGACAACTTTTTCCTCAGTTTGCTACATCTTTCATTACATCATCCATACTCCAGCACTAAGATTTTTTCAACAATTACAGAAGCTTCCAAAGTATGAGAGAAGATGTTTTCCCCTGCCATCTAAAATATTTTGCCATGACTTTAGTAAACTCTTCTATGTCATTACCTTTTTTACTGGCATAAAGTTATTTTAATTTGGCCAAGAACAAGATTTCCTAATTTCTTTTTAACCTCTCAATACACAGCTTAAAATAAACAGGCAAAAAAAAAGATGTTTTAACTGAATTCTTAGCTGAACTAGAATTATGTAAGTGAGCTATTTGGAAGACAGATCAGTGTCTCTCACTCATCTGGCAGTAATACTTCCAGCTGAAGTGAACTGGATCAAGAATGGTCTTTGAGAGGGCTCACATGGGCCAAGAGCTTTTTATGGGATGAAATATAAGCTGTAAAATACAAATCCTTGTAATGCTGTAAAAGATCTTCATTTTATCTTTCAAATAGCTCACAAAAGAAAAACAGATGAAGATTAAGACAACTCACAGGACTTGAAACTTTGAGAAAGGATAAATAAAAAATGAAATAGTAAGAAGACTGTAATTTCATTCAGGAAGAAATCTATGAATACTTTACCTTGGAAACAGCAGGACAGGAGTCCCTTCGGACTGTCTCTATGCCTTTTGCATCAAATACTGGGTCCTTCTGGTCCAGTGTTTCATACATGTAACCCACATACCTCTTTTTAGTCTGCAGGACACATGGCAAGTAGACCTGGAATGTTTAGAAAGAAGACAGCCCAGTCTGGAATGTGTTTGGGACATAGAGGGTTTCCTAAGTATTATTCCTAAGGAATACTGTGCATTGTTGGTTTGGTGTTTTTTTTTTTTGTTTTTTTTTTTTTTTGGTTAAATCATTACAACTGATAAAATAGATCAAAGGACTCTTAAAGGATGGCTGAGGAAGTTGGGATTCTGTGGTGTTCCATTCTTAAATCATTTTATATATCATTTTGCTGAAGCTCAGATGCAAAGTGAATATGAATTGTTGCAAGTACCTTTACTTTTCTGGATCACACCTGCCACTATTTCGAATGTAACTCTATTATCTTTCTTTCTGATAAAGACAACTTCATTTTAAACATCAGAGAAGAAAACGTTCCCAGCACAAGTAGTGGCTTAGAACTTTCTGTTTTCAAACTTAAGGAGATGCCAAAAATCGGTTAGTATCTCCATTTGGAGCAAATATGCTTTTAAAATGCCTGTGCTTGGAGAACAGTTTTCTCTGGAACGGATTTTTAGGGTCATGGTCTCTTTTGCTTGTTTTCTCCAACCTCTTATTTTATTCTTGATTGTAGTAAGTATTCCTTGAAAACTTTGAAATTTAAGAATGGAGAAGAATTTTTTTTCATAGTGTTACTAGGATAACACCACATCTTCCTGACTCTCATGTCAGGAAGAGGAGGCAATTTAGGTTGCCTCAGGCTTACAAATTTTAATTGACCTTGTTGAGTCAGGTATGTACTTTGAAAATATCCAGACAACCTGGACTAATGCTAACTGACCTGAACACCTTGCTAACGACTTTACAGTGACAAACTTCCAGCAAAATCAGTAATATATTGCCTTACTCTTCTATAAAAGATTTGTTGTGGTTAATATTTCTTCCAGAAGCCGAATGAATGGATTTTTATGACTTTTCATTTTACAGGTGTATGTATCATGTGGACATATGCTGAAATGAGTGTGCTACAGCTGTCTGAAAAATAAATATCAGGCTTGTAATTAATGCACTGGAATTGGGGACGGTGAACATTTCCTCTGCTAAGTTGCACACATTGATTCAATTGTAGGTATACAATACCAAACTGAGGGAGGTATTTCCCAAAACTGATGAGAAGAAATTCACTTCTTGTTGTGCTGCCAGGACAACAAGCCACTGATGTGAAATCAGGAATATTTCTCTTTATTGTTCACACTGTTGTGCTCCTCTGAAAAGGTCCCTGAGGCATTAAGGAGCTTGCAATGTATCTACAGAAACAGCACATGACTTGTTTATCCTTATGTCCATTAGGGTTCAGAAAAATCTTTCATCTTCAACTTTTTTTTGGGCATTTTTTTGTTTGGTTTTTGTTGTTGTTGGTTTGATAACACCCAACACATTTCAAGCAAAATTTTTTCCTTTTACCTTTTCGAACTTCAGTTTAACAGGCTTGGGATTTGTTGCTGTTACAGCTTCAGCAATTTCTTGACCAATCTTAAAAGACTGCTCCTTTGTGGCTCCTTTCAAGAGTACAAACATGCTACAAGAAATCAGACATAGGAAGTGAATGCAAATCTGTTCAACACAGTTCCTGAAAACTGTATGCTATAGTTTCCTGGTAGCAAGGCAGGGATGTCATTATGAATTTTATTCCCCTTCTTCAGCTAGAAAAGTCAAAAAACTGAGCAACTTCAGCGTTCAGCATGAGATGAGGAGTGCCAAAGGGCTAATGAATGCTGTGACTTCTGATGAGGCAGGGAATGGACTGTTCCCATGCACTGCGAAACTGGAGTTCCTAGGAAAGAATTGTAAAGAGCCCTGGTATACCATTTTTTTCCCCACTGTGGGCAGCAGCAGGATTTTACTTCATTTCTCCAACATTTTGTTTTTAATGAAACCACCATGAATTCAGTATCTTTGAAATGTCAAGTCTTTTATCAGACCTGGCTGAAATCAGTCACTGGATTAATAAGTTATTAAGAAACGACAGCCAGACAAGCTTTGTTTCCCAATGGCTGAAAAATTATCCAAGTGTGGAACAGAGATGGATATGCCTAGAGCATGGCTATTATTTAGATGAAAGACTGACTGAGAAAATGTATGTCAGGCAGCCTAATAATATCTTTGTATACTCTGGTGACTGCTTTTGAATTGTATCCACTTCTGAAGCTTAAAGCAGTGCCTTCCTCGAGGTGAAATGCCTACTGTGTTATATATACACATTATTTTCAAAAATAAAAATGGCAGCAGGAATAGGCACAAAAATAATAATAATTTGGTAAATTAGATTTATATTAATTCACAACTGAAAAAATATCCCCCCTCTTCTGTTCCACATAATTTTCAAAGGAAAGGAAACCTTTAAAGTGCTTAAAGAAACCCAAGCAAACTTGGTATTGTTCACTTTGCATATTCTGCAAGGCAATAAGCAACATCCAAAGAAGATCCACACACCCTTTTCAGCATCATAAATTCACCTTGCTCAGACAAAAGCAAAATCTATCTATGAAGAACTATTACGATTTTAATACATTTTAAGAAGCAAATTAGGAATTACCTGTCTGTATCACCATATACAACGTGAGCACCCCATTTTTTGGTATCATTCACCAGTTTAATGGCACGCTCCAATGTTTCTCTGGCTTTGTGAACAATGCTGTCTCCAATCTGCAAAGTTAGATTGAAAATCTTTATTTCTACTGCTAAACCAAATCCTAGCTCTTGGTAACTACAGTCTATCCATGCTTGATCTTGTTATGAAAATCACTCTATTGAGATGATATATTTTATTTCATGGTTTAAATGCATATAATAAATAAAAAGGTTGCTTAATTTACCCCGAAATAACAAGAACTAAAAAAAAAAAAAAATTATAAAACATGGTTTAAATGCATATAATAAATAAAAAGGTTGCTTAATTTACCCCGAAATACTTTTTTTTAATTTACCCCGAATACTTTTTAATTATAAAGTATTAAAATAAAGAAGAATTTGTTTTAAGCGTCTTTAGAAATTTATAATATATATTAAAAATCTATGGAGCAAGACAAGACTGCTCAGGATCATTTTCTCCAGTTTTTGGATTCTGCTGATTCCTATGAAAATGAAGAAAAAGCTACAATGTTTTGTTTTATTTCCACTATTAGAACTGTAATCCAATTTAACTTTGGAAACAGTTCTACAGCAATGCCAACACCAAATGCTACTTTACAGGAAGAAGACGACCATCATATTTTCCTGGAAGATCACAAATAAATCCTAAGTTTCTGATTTTCCGCACTACAAATAAAAACAGCTTTTCTAAAGGTATTTAGTTTGTTTCAAATAATAATATTATGTTATCTGACTAGTGTCTTTCCAACATTTTTTATACATTTTTACCTGCAACCCTTACCTCAGTGCATGGCATTCTTCCAGAAAAATTAGCAGCAGTATAGCCAAAAGTAAAATTAGCTATATATTTAAGACCCAACTGACGAGCTTCAAGCATTCGAGTCACAGCCTTGTCATGCTTATAAGCCTTCATTGACTGTTTCACCATTATCCTGGTCTTCAAGATTTCTTCCAGCATCCTTGGCAGCACACCCTTTCTTACTGAAGGCTGCCATAAAGGGAACAAAGAAAAACGTGGTGTTAGAAATCCCAACATAAACAGTTAAGAGTAAAATCAAGCCCTAGAACAGTTAGTTAACCACTGATAGGAAAACAAATTAACTAGCAGGATGCCCCAGCCACCAACAGTTTGGCTTTTCCCACAAATACTACAAGGAACCTAGAATACAGGCAAAGCTCTTAAGGACAGAACAAATAGCTTTTTGTTCTTTGTATTCATCAGCTCTGCTGATGCAATGTTTAGATAACCTTATTAACTAAAATGGGACTTCAATATTTAGCTATTAATTCTCAAAGTATTAAATGATGAAGGAACATTATCTTTTAAAAATTCTGCAAATATTCTTCACTTGAAATTTTTGTTTTACATTAAATACAGATATGCTGGTGATTGCCTAAATATTTTTAACAGCTCCAGGCCATATTCATTACATGTCAGCCAGCAGGACACATTACAAAATGAGAACAATAGAAAGCAAGTCAGGGACTCTCATTTCCCAAATCATTACTCTTTTTCTAAGAAAGCATTCTGCTATACAGGCAGGAGAAAAATGAATTGTTACACACAGATAATTACCATTTGATCCCCAAACTGCACAAGTAAAGTACAGTTTAATTATAGATGAAATAAGCCTTCAGTATAAAGCAAAGCATAAAGACATTTTACTTCCTGAGATGCCAGAGGTTCAGCACTTTGACAAATATCAAAAACATTGTGAAATGAGAGAATGAACCTCCTCTTTCTGTCAGCTCTTAATGCAGCAAAATATAAACTACAATATGAATTTGATCTTAAGTGAGCCAACAGGCAGTGAAAATGCTGTCACAGAGCACTAATATCATTACCTTGACAAAAGCTACTCCACTGGGTGACACTGTGATATCATGTCTAATCTGGTAGAGTAAATCAGGAGGTACTCTCAGAGATGTACAGCCAAATTTGAATGCATCATACCTAATAAAGAGAAAATTTAAACATGAAGACAATTCATTCATTTACAGACTAATCAAGTGAAAACATCAGCTCACATTAAAATGCTAATAATGCCAGCAAGGACAGAATAATCTCAAGCATAAACAAACATAACATAATTTCAAATTTCTTAGCTACATACAGAAGGTTCTAGGAATAAAGTAGTAATAAATAGCTAAATTTCAATGCATGCATAATTTATCAATTCTGCTCTGTGTTATAAATTATTACCAAACACTGATTTAGTGGAGGTATGTACTCAGTACTCTAATCCCCTATGGAAACCATGCATGTTTACCAAGTACCACACTGCACACTTACTTTCTTCCTACAAATTCAGAATTTCAAATCAGGAACGTGAAAACCTGATGGTGACACCTAACAATTATTGCAGGCATCTTTCCATTCTTCAAAATACTGTTTTACAAAGGTAATTATAATGAGCAGTGAGATCTTTTTCCAATTAATAGAATAACTGTTAAGCTCAATAAAAGACGCTACAAAGAATAACTCAATTGTACCTTTTAATTTTTAGTAATTAGAACCAGAGTGAACTACAAGTGATACAGGAACAATCATAGTTCATTAAGGAATAACCCCCGTCTAGTTTTGAAGACAGATGGTGGATTTACAGTAATTTTAACTTATTTTAAAGCAATGTTAAAAACCAGCATCACCACAGAAGTCAAAGAGGTGTACATACACACATGCACAGAGTTGTTTCCAGGGGTTTTTAAGAGAACAGAGTAATCCTGTATTTAATTAAAAACACAAACTGATTTGTATATGTATGTGTATAACATGTGCACACACCCACATGGTAGATTTTTATCATCTGTATTGTGTAACAGAAAATGGTGCTATTCATACGTGCCCATCGTTTCCAATGGCAACCAGGGGTTCTCAGTACCTTAGAAAAGACACTCAAGTATCTACAGAATCAAAGATCGTGAGAGAAGAGTAACAACTTACTTTCCTAAGTTCTCAACATGTCCCAGGCAGGTAGAAAAGCAGTAGTTGTATGCTATGACAATGGAAGGATACAAGGACTGGAAATCCAAGACAAGAACAGCGTTGCTGTAGAAGCGGGACTCTGGCTCCATGATCAAGGGAACACACTGTGGGGCTTTCATCTGAGCTCGCTGCTGGACGCTGGGAGTCACAGCAATGTAGTTCATGGGCTTCGCAATGCGCAGCATCACCGACTCCACACGGTACTGCAGAGCAGTTTGGATAAAACCATTATCACCAAAAGTGCAGAACAAACCTGTATTAACTAGTGCAAACACACTTACATTTCCTGAATTTAAAGTACAAATAACTGCTTTTCCAAAATAAATAGCCATGCTCTTAAGGTACATTTTAATTGTATTTTATACCACTAGATCATCTTTAGGTCCCTTCCAACCCTAACCATTCTATGATTCTGTACTCTGTATTACACAGAGTAGAACTCTTCCACATGTTTCCTCTTTGTTTAGCCCTAATCACTGAAAATCAAGTACTTTTTTTATATGGAAAAAACCATCATCCAACAGGCTTCAACAATATATGTGGATGGCCATGCTACTATTGTCTGTGAATGAGCATTTGATAAGCTGTACTACTGTCAGACCTGCAGATCACCAAAGAAAACAAAGTATAATATGCAGTAAATGCACTGGGTATCATGCTTTCTCCCTGGTGCCACAAGCAGAACAGGAAGCATAAAACAACCAACACCCTGTTCAAGATACCACAAAATGTTATATGTGTAGCTGGCAACAAGAGAAAAAAACCCCAGCCTTATTTGCGTATTATTCAATGCTTTAGTAAAGGCTTTAGAAGTACAAATGGGCAGGTATGCACTGTGTCCTTTCAGAATAAAAACCCAAAATAGCTGAAAACATAATACATGGTGTGAAAACTACATACATGGGTGGCAAGGGACTCAAAAATCCTGAAATATCAAAGAAAAATTCTGCATAATTGTAAAATCCCGTGCTTTGTAAACAACTAAATCACTATTAAAACTGTCTGCCTGACACACTATGTATGCAATCATTGTACTGAATGGGTTAGATATAATTTCTTTAACCTTGAAGTTATAAATGAACTTACAGAACCAATAGCCTTAACAAGACCATGCACCTTTAACAGAGGTTGGGGTTTGATGCATAGCTGGGGAGCAACATAAACGACCACTGCTGCCTTGTACTAATTGCACATTAATTTGTGTCCAGTGATGAACTTGGATGTATGACAAGGTGGTCAGGGACTGGTTCTGGCAAGAGGTAGATTTTGGGGTTTTTTTCCCTAGTTTTCATAGCATTGTAGAATTTAGGTTGGAAAGGCCTCCAAGATCAACCAAATCCAACTGTTAACCCAATGCTGCCAAGCACCACATCTACACATCTTTTAACTTCAGGGATAGTGACCCTGGACAGCCTGTTCCAATGTCTGACTATCCTCTTGGAGAAGGAGTTTTTTTCAGGTGCATCTGTGGTTCCTAACACATCAACAATCCTTTTGTCTTTGCTCCCATGTGGATCTCCAGCCCCTACCTCCACTGAGAGAGCAGACAAAAGGACTTTGCTAGGATACTCTTTCTCAACCACAGGTGTGATGCTCCCAGATTTATCTTTAGGGAGCCTGATCTTATTCCTTTCCCCTTCAAATTGAGTTTAATCTCTCTCAATGAGCCCTGCTGACTCCTGTGCAAAAACCAGCAAGTTCTTCAAACATCTGGCTTATTATCTGTAATGTCTGTGACCACCTCTTGTTAGATTTTGTTTAGTCCACTAAGAAATGTTTGAGATGGCTTAATACAATAAACTAAAATAATTTTAAAAAGTTATTGTAAAATTCAAGGAGAGATTCAAACATGGAAAAATAAAGTATCTGAAATCTGTTCTTATTACTATTCAATTTTAACATGTTTTTCAGCTAAAGGGGAGTATCTTCATAAAGGGTAGGGACTCTTCTATGTGAATAAAATTATTTGAGAATTGTTGCAAGTGCCATTTTTGTGATCTAGAGAGTTTCAATGGAAACAGAGCATACATGCACAGAAGGGAAGAGAAAAGAACAGTCAGGATAGAAAATGCAGCATGCTTCTGTTGATCACTCCCACTCACAGACATCTGAGAAAATGACAGGCAGACAGTCTTTGTGGGCTGCAATCATGACAGTTTAAGCATATCTATGCTGGCAGTATGCCAGTCCCACACTCCCTGTCCCTAACTGTGCATTTCTCTTCCCTTGCTCCAACAGTGGTATTTTCTGATAGTATGGTAAACCAGATCTGGGAGCTAACACTGCCATGGTTCTGCTGATGGTGCCTGCCAGCCTGCTCCCCTTTTCCCCCAAATACAGGGTCATTACCAGAAAGACCAACAAGAACCTGCTCTGGGGTCAAGAGATGACACAGGCAACTGCAGTCTAAGAAAAAAAAGGTGGCTGAAGTTTTTTTAATAGCACTGAATTGTTAAGGAAACTGCAGCTTCAGACAGTCCCATATCTGGCTGGCTTATGATAACAGAAGAGCTGTAACACACGACACAGTATCTGACTCACATTTCAGGCACTGCTCAGGTCTCGCATGTAGCCATGAAAGCAGTTCAGTTGGCCTAGTCACTCACAATCTGGGCAAGGAAAGCTTTTGGTATCACTGGAGACTGCTGGGCTCCCAAACAAGCACATCTTGCTCTGTTCTGCTCCCTTTTCCCTCTGATACTGGCATCAAAGTAATAGAACCACAAACACCTTGCATGACACATACTTAATAAAGCCAGAACCCCTCTTGTCTTACTGTAAAATCTCACCCAGAGGTCTGCTGCACCACAAATGTCACTCAAAACATATTCAATGGTGTTTTGTCTGCCCTGAAAGAAACTAATCTCATATTTCTAAAACACGATTAATTATATTTCTTAATGTTTTAACACTCATTTTCAGTCTCATATAAGTGTGAAAAATACCAACTCAAAGGGAAAGCTTAGTGCTCCTGAAGGCAGTAGAAGAGATTCATTGGAGTGATTACATTTGGGGAACTCTGTTTTTAACCTCTGAGACTAGGCAAATCAAAAGCACCAATAATATATTGCATGGTATTCTTTATGTTTCAATTTCATGATAATTCACGTTAACAGCCTTCTGTGACCCTATGAAAATACACATATGGACTGAGAAGATACTGAAGAACTAGAACATTTTGTAAAAGCTCTTTTGGTTTTGTGAAGTATAAGGAGAACAAAGTCTTACCTGGGAGCCTCTTGTTAATACATGTAAGAACTGAATGCCAAAAAGTCTTGCCATTTCACTTGTTCTGTCAATCAAATCCAGTTTTTCTAACAACAGGAGATTCCCACGAACCCGGCTAACATAATGATCAACCATTTTCCATCTGTGAGAGCAAACACCTCGTTATAAACAATCAGAAGACTGCTGCTCTTTCTACTAAGACTAATGTATTTTTATGGTAACTTGTAAGAAACCAGAAAATAAAATTTTCCTCTAGAACATTTTCATAGAACTCTTTCAAAAGTGTGGCATATATACACTTGGGTATTCTAAAGACATATCCACATGGCATTACAGCAAGCTACTGTTAAGGCATCTCACAGTGACATACTACATCCTGTTTTCCTCACTGCCCCAAAGGATTACCAAATCAGACACAACTACCCCCTCATCTCTTTACATGTTTTTTTAACTAAGTGGACCTTTGTAGAAACATCCTTCTGTATTAAGAATGCCTACCACAGCTGAACATAAATTCATAATTTCAGTATAAATCACATTTCCATTTAGCTACAGAAACCTTTACAGAAATTTTATGTATGTCACAAACAACGTGCAGTTCAGTATTCGGTTTCATGAATTGTTCATAGCACACAATACCAAACTGCTTCAAGAAGAGTGAAGCTGAATGTGATACATGTCACATGAAGGTATTTTTAAGCAGCTATAGCTACTGTCTTAACATCTTGTGTGCTGTTTTGTAATACTTTAAAGCCTAGTTTGCTTGACATGCACTTGAAGTAAAACAGAAGCCTGGCAGTTCATTAAAAGCCCTTCTGATGAATAGCATATACAAAATAAAGACATTACAGAACTTCAAAACAGTACATCTATTCAGGTATGTTGAAAATGTAACTGAAAATATTTTGTTGTAATATTGAAGGTAAAACTATACAATAGAACATCCAAGTAAATAAGCTCATGTTGCTGCATATACACTGCTCTAGTGCCTAAGCTAAATTGATTATTTCTTCCTATTGTGGCTTTACCTTACACCTATCCAATGTTAAGAATCTGGCCTTAAAAACAGCAAACAAAATGGATTAATAGATCATTACCTGTAGACATCTGCCTTATTGTCAAACCAATCAGACAGAACTCGGAACGTAAATAAAGGAAAACGATGATGAAGCACATGAAAGCCCACATTTTCAAAAGTGTAATTCGTTAGATTCACCTAGAAAAGCACAGTGGACATGTCAAGATGCATGATGGCTCTCATAAGCAAAAAATCTCTACTTTTCAAAAACTGCAAGAACTAGTTTTATTAACTTTTTGTTAGTTTTTTGTTAAAAAAGCTAGTCTTTATTCTTAGAAATCCCTATTTACAAGTCAGGAAAAAGCATCTCTTATCAATTCAAAAGAATATGCAGAATTAAGTAGTTCATAAAGATCAGGTCTGAACTTGGTCAGAACAAGATTTGTAAAGACTGGGCTATTTGAGTATTAAATGGAAAGTTATAAATGGAACAAAAAAAAAAACAACCCCAAAACCACCAAAAAACAAACCAAACCAAACCAAAAAAACCCAACAACAACAAAAAACAAAAATACCAAACCAAAAAACCCCCAAACCCAAAGAACAACAACAAAAAAAACACCCAAAAAACAAAACCCAAAAACCCCTTACAGTTTCAAATATGTTCAAGTACATATTGTACTAAAAGCACCATACTAGACAAATTCCTAAAACAAGTAAGTTGTTCTCAGAACCCACAAATCAGTGAAAAGGAGTATCATTAAGAAACATTACTGAAAAATAAAGGCCTCAGTACTTTAGAGATACACAAAACCTATTCTCACAAACTGTCAAACTACTCTATTTGAAAAGATGTATAAAGAAAAAATTGTGGAAGTTACATGAGTTACATGAAACTTTCAACTAAGTCTGCAATAATTAGAAAACTCAGTAAATCAAAACATTAACCTTTAAAAAAATTTACCTCATGTCTCATCATTCTCCATACATTCAAGACAATTCGCCCAACAATATTTATTTCACTCATTGTATCTGCTCCATATTCATCCAGCTCGGTGGCAAATCTGTTCTCTTTATTTTCATCTAAAGACATTAAAGGAGACTATATTTAGACAAGTTATAAGACAGTCAAGACCAGATCAAACCATCTATCCCTCTTCCAATGTATGCTCTCTAGAAAAATAAGAATTCATAAAGATTACTGCTGATTCCACAAAAATTACTTATTCACCAGTCATCCACACAATCTCTAAATAAAACTCCCCCAACCTTTTTCTGCTCTTGCCCTTTGCAGAGAATTCTTACTTTGGTTTACTGAAATAGTGTCCAAGGCAACATATTCTCCATAGTGAATTTACTGGTTATGCAATGCTGAATGTTACTTGAGAGTCAGCTGCACATGCAATAGTGCATAACATTAAAAAAAATTATTTTAAAAAAAGTGACTTCTGGCCTAAGGAGCTTATAACTCAAGGCTTTACTTGCAATGATCTTACACAGATTGAACCAAGTCATGGGAGAGAAAATTCAGTCTCTTTCACACACTATAAGCAAACCCACAGCAGTGAGAGTAAGTAGACATGAGTTCTGGATAGCACAGGGAAAAGGAAATAGGAAGGAACAAATGTAGATGCAGAAGCAGCATTCTAAATCTTTCTGTGAGACAGCAGTGTCTAAAGTAGAGAAATATATCCTCTTTTGCCATCCTTGATTTTTGTCATGCTTTGGAATACTGCAGCATAAGAGAAGACAGTCTTTTTGGTATACACTTCTTTAAACTATCTTTTTTCCAGTCATTTTAAGTCTACAGTTCTGGTGTTTTTTCCCAGAGTTTACAAAGATGTTTTTTAAATGTATCACACAGACTAAAATCCATTATGAATACACACTGGTCTTATTTCTTATTAGTTTAATGGGAGAGAAATCACTTCAAGGCAATTTACCCACAATTCTAAATCCATACCCATTTTTTTAACTGCTGGTTGCTTTGCATTCTGCCACCACTCATTTATCAGGTACAGCACAGTCTGTACAGTACCCTGCTAATTAAGAGCAGAACATTTTGGACAGAGAGTGTAGAAGTGTGCATACACACTGCTTTGCTATAATGATCAAAACTGAACAATTAGATCCTCAGACAGTCATGAAGCACATTTACCCTCGATGACAGAAGTAAAAATTGCCTGAAATGCTGCAGAACAGTTATGAAACAACATAACACAGATTCATTTTGTATCTTGATCTTCAAATGTGTCCCATATAAATTAAAATATGGTTAAGAAAACCTATTCATCATTTACTGACCTTATTAGTAAATCACAGATACTTGACAAAATTTAGCAGACCTTTTGTACACTTCATCAAAATGCATACTATCTTTTTAACCTCCTTATTGTTTCAAATTTTTAAGGAGGAAAAGCAGCAATTTATCTTTCCATGTTTGGGTGGAAAAAATGCCCCACCAAGTAGCAACATTTTTTCTTCTGCTTTTCTTCATTTCCACATGCTAGATCTCCCGTAAAAGTGAGGAACTTGCATTCCTTCCCCTCCTTTTTAAAATGTATTTGTTTTTTAATTTTTTTTTTACTGGAAGTAGAAACTATTGGTTAGTTCTACTTTCTTCAGTGTCATCCCAGTTCTCTTTTGACTTGTTTAGGAGATTTCCTACATTAAGTTTGCTTCATGTCTTGCTGGTAAAAAACTGGCAGCAAAGTATACCATGATCACAAGAGAGACACACTGTCTGATGAACTCTGCCTGTGATGAGCACCACCATATTACAAAAAACCTGCACAACTTTACAGCTGGTGTGGGAAATGCATCACCAGAACCATGTAAGCCTCTTTGGGAACTATGCTGGCAAGAAGCAGAACAGGACATTCCTCGTATCTTTCGAGTGCACGAGATGAAGTAAAAAGAAGTTTCCTCTCATCCTCTCTTACCCACTCCCTAACTTTGAGCTGTGATGCAAAGGAGGAAACAGGAGGGCACACAAAAAATGCCACCATGCACACACAGGGATGGCATGCACTTCTCTTGTGATGTGTCCTATGACTTATAAATAGTTCGCTTGTAAAGGGCAGAGGCAGCACCAGACTCAGCCAATAAAGCAAAACCAGAGAGAATTCCAGCTTTCTTTTAGTTAAGTTGAAATCACAGGAAAGGAAAGTCCCTTCCATTTTTATTTCAACAGGAGGAAAGAGACGCATACTTCTTGAAGGCGCACTTCCTGTTCTGAAAATACAGCATGTGAAGAAGAGAGGGAAATACAAAGCACAGGGGTTGGAAAAGCAAGAGGAAGACAGATGGGGTCAAAACCACGGACAAGGAGGCCACAAAGCAACAGAGAACACAACAACTTGCACGTATATGGTCATGCATGCAAGACATTTATGGCATGACATTTCTGGGAAGAGCTCATCAGTGTAAACATTTTCTCATCTTTCTGCTGCAATTCTGTCAAAACAAACCAAACACTTACCTTAAAATAACAGCAGTTCTTAGAAACATTTTTATGTGTTATGTATTCCACTTCTGAGTATGCATCTACCAGCTGGCACAGGAACACCTGCACTACAAACACCAGAGCTGTGCAGATTGTGCCTGTGCTCTGAATGCCCACTTGAACTTCATGTACAAAAATGTTAAGGGATACAATCCTGATTTTCTTCAGTAGAAATGAACCCATGTTGTGTGGGACTTGATAGTTGTAGGGAAGGAAACCTGACTGTGAAATACATGGGGACACTACCATTAGGAGCCATACAGTTCCTCTTCTTCGAGGACCCATTCATGTGTATCCCAAAACCAGTAACTTGAGGAAGGGTTTATGTCAGGAGGATGGGTACTATTAACAGCTTTGCTGATTGTTTGGTTCTGCATCAACTACAGTGCAGACAGAGCTGTCCTCAAAGACATGAACTGTGACTTGGCCTTTGAGAACAACAGCAGAGACACATGTCCCAAACTGAAAAGATTGTTCACCATACTTCTACAGTAGAGCAGTAAATCTTTGTGATCTCTGGAGGTTTTAAGAAACCTTTGACTATAACATTTACTGTTCCTCTTACTACAGACATTGTACATCTTTAGATGTAATGGGTCAAAATTTTTTTCTGAACATCCTTCAGTACCTCTGAAGATCGTACCCAAAGGCATTATTTTGCAACTAGTGTATCATCTCAATTTGAGCCGTCAAGGAAACTGAATAAACAAGGTTCATGCAATGCACTAGTATTCCTGAAGAATAAATTTGACAGCTTTGTCTTGAAGAAAGAAACTTATGAGCACTGATGGCCTGTTCATATTTAAACTATCACATGATCCTGTTTTCATATATGAAGTATTTAAAAATTCACCAAAGTTCAAATACCAACTTTCAACTGAAGATGCAATTTTTTTCTTGTGTTTTCTTGTCTCTGGGAGGACTCTATAACTCAGTTCTTTTCCAAACATGTCACAAGTATTGAAAGCATCAAGAGAATACAAATATTTAAGCCTCAGGGAAGGACTGTGTGAACACAGTGCTGCTAAACAACATATTCTCCTGGCCTGGCACACAGGACAACTACATGAAAGATGATTCCTCTACTGGGTATGCTCAAAGATGCAAGCAGCCCAGTATCATGCTCTGTCATGTACTCAAAGTCAGGTACTTCAAGATGGGGGAAGCAGTTACTGATACTCTCCCTACAACTCTTCCAGATTCCAATCATTTGCAGCTTCCTGGGCCAGACATTATTTTCCCATTTACCATAGCTCCCAATGGATTCTTCTTGCAAGAGCTTATCTCCTTTTAAAGCAATGTACACTACAAGCATTTGTACTATCCTTTGACCAGGAACTAAAGAATTCAGCAATGCTGAAACTAAAAATTAACTTATATTCTGTGGCTGCCACTTGCTAGCTTCACTTGATTTCCAGTTCTTGCATTAGAAATGACCATGAAAACCCAATCTTCTCTATTTCCCTTTATATCCCTCAATATGTCAGAGGCTTTTACCTTTCCTACACTGTTTTGTTTCTTCTGGAATCCCAAATTACTAAATTACTAGACACATCTGGATAACCCTTCTCATTTTACCAGTTCCCCTGTATTCACTTTGATGGGAGAAAGGTTGTGAGTGGGCTACAACCTCAGTATTTGAGATACAAGCACACTACAGATTTTTAGGTTTTTTACATTTACATTCATTGCTTTATATTTTCCTTGCTCCATAGTTCCTAACATTTGCTTTTGCAAACATTACAAAGCAACAGGCTCAAGGTTTTAATAGAACAATCACAGTAATGGACTTCTTATTTCGGAGCAATTTCATTTCTGTACAGATGCTTTTTTCTGTACAGCTGGCAAAACCGGATTCTTCAACTGTTTTGATTTTTAAAGTCTCACTCATCCACATCACTCTGATGACTGCAAAGAGCAACAACAAATTTTTGAGACACTTTTTCATTTTATAGTTATCCTGACTCTTCTCAGGTGCAAAAGCACACTTATTTAGCTGTTGACTAACTCCATTCTTCAGAATGATGGCTTCTATTGACTGGCTAAGTATAGGCACTAGGCTTACCATTCTCATCCAAGTTTTCTTGCCAGTCTAAACAGACTTTTTCCCGAATGCTGGAGGAAAACATCAGCACTTGGACCCAATAAAATTTGCCCAAAGTACAAGAAAGGTCATTGAAAGTGAAGATTTTATTACAAAGCTGTCCAGAACAATTGCTGCTCAGGAGCAGTTTTATGTTCTTGTATTCCAGCCAGAGAAACCACAAATGATTATTATGGTAGGTACTCTGAACGACTGGAGACAAGGAAAGCAAAACAGGGTTTGGTAGCAGAAGCACCTCCAAGAACTGAAACTTAACACACAACTATAAAATGTAAAGGTTCATGAATAGAGGACACACACAGAAGTGGAATACACCACAAATTTGAAAATTCATTAAACACCAGGGTGTGTGTGATTATACTATTAACAACACAGGAGCAAGAACAAAAAAAAAAAATATTTCTGAAGAAATATGCTGCATTTATTTTTTAAATTTGTTCATAGATTTCAACTTGTTTCTACTGGAACTGAATTGAAGCCCTAAACAAATAACTTACCTGGCACACGAGAAATCATCTGGCATAAATCAACATTCAGTGCCGCAGCCCTCTGTAAGAGATAACCCCAGGAATGCATCTGGACTTCATAGCCTAGCAAAATGTCTGGGTCATATCTAGAGAGGTAGGGGGAAAAGAAAAAATGAGCTTCATATAATTTACAAAAATATTTTCCATGAACAAAGTCTAAACAGGATTGCATTCAAATTATGTTGAGTTAAAAAAGACGCAGTCACAATTGGTTTCTATGAAAGCAGCATCTGGACTAGGAGACAATATTTAAAACATGCAATCTCTTAGGATTTTTAATAATGTTCAATGGCAAAAATATTTACAAAGGATATTTTCACTGGAAATTTTTTTTTACATACTTCTATCATTTCAGTCTTTACAAATAAAGAACAAAACTGAGGTCTCAACAGGTTTTATTGATGGCATCAGGAAGTATCAAGCATAAACTGAAACTTAGCTACTGGCACGAGACAGATGTGCAGTGAAAGACAGCCATGCCTATGGAACAGAATTTGCCAGCAGGTTAACTGGAATGTTTACAGATAATATTGTGTCACACATACTGCAGCGTAACCTTGAGTAATCAGAGGGAACTCCGGGTCCTAAATGATGACCCTTTATTGGGAGTTACAATTGCAGTTGAGTGAGAGTTGTCTAAACTGAAAGAGAGAAAAGCAACTGTATCTATCAGTTCTCTTTAAATACTTCTTTATTTAGATAGCGTTTTTTTTCTAGAAGACACACAAGAAAAACTTATTTTATGCTGTATTTCTTTCCAGCTGGAAAATCTAACTGGCTCAAGTATGACAAACAAGTCAGAATTGACTTCTGACACAATAATTTCCAATCAGGCTCTGAGTAAAGCTCACTAGACAGAAGGACAAAAAGTGTGGCTTTAAAGGCAAAGCACAGGTAGGAGACAGCTCAGAGGACCCAGTATCACCTAACTGTTGAGTAGGCACTACTAAAACCACAAGTCATGATCTGCTGACTTGCTCAATAGCCTAAGAATGATTTTGTTGGGCAAAAAGAGACTGGACAAAGTAACATAAGATATCTGTTATTTTTACAGCAAAAAAGAAAGGAAATTTCAGTGAGATAGCTGCTTCTTGGTTAGACTGAATGATTTTTAGTGTATTTTCCAACCTTGATGCAGCAGGTAGTATTCAATACAACTGAAAGACATCAGGGTAGCTATCAGGAGGTAGAGGATGGATGATGGGCTGAGGATCCTGTACCATAGTCTATGCCCAACCCCACAACAGGATGCAGGCTTGCAGACCTTAGTTTATGGAGGGAGTGGGCAGGAGCCTTGGATTATGAACAAGAACTCTGTACTCCTTGCATCCATAAATACATTAAAAAAGACAAACATTTCCTGACTGTTGAATACAGAACAGCCTTTCCCTGAATACTGAGTTAGTTGTATCACAGACATTACAAATGAAGCTTCAGACTTTATTAGGAAAGTGTCTTCCTTGCTTATGTGTCCTTGCCAAAGGCAACGACAACTCACTTTGAAGATACTAATTACTCTGAGAATAACTCCAAAAAACAGTTTATCTGCACTTCTGCCATGGACACTGACCTTCTCTGAAAAATAATTGAATATTGTTACTCAGCATGGCTCTCTCTTTATTACAATTTGGGCTTTTGCACCTGCAAGAAGTTGCAAAAATCTCCTTTATTACCTACTTCTACTTGTGAAGGAATGGTTTTGATACAATTTTTACCTAAAGCAAGGGATTCTAAAGCAAGTTTTTGATTTCTAGCATTCTACAGAAAGTAAAAGAACTAGCACTTTGAATTTGGGGGATATTTTGCTATCTGCTGTTCATGTCAAAAGAAGAATTATTTGGGTTTGGAGGTGGAAATGATCATCAGGAGTGGAAGCAGTAAATTTACTCAATATGGAAACCTCTTCTACCAATGGTACAACCCCAAAGCCACTTGGAACAATTTATGGACAAATGACTCAAGCTAGCCTGCAGCTCATTCCAGCAGTAGAGCCAGTGACAGAAAGAGTTATGACTGCTTGCTGCTCTGCACAACATACAATGATTGTGAAATGATGCTCCAAAATTATTAATAGCTCAATTTCAGCTTTGAAATAAAAAGGAATTATGCCGTGTTTTATACACGCATAAAATAAACATTATAAAAATTAACATATTTTCAAAGTAATTATTGTATTTAAGCTATCCTGGTCCTAGCATATTGCAAAACTGTACTGATTAATTAAAATGAGGGAAGTAGTAATTCGTTATCATATTTGAAAATTGTCATCACATAATTCAAAATGGAAAATACTTGTAGATTTTACACAGGACAAGGCATTATGCAGATGTGTTCCATGGTAGATGCAAATGTGAATCAGAAACTCATGAAGAACTGCTTAAGTGATACATAAAACAATATTCATTATGCCAGAAATTTGCTTTCTCTTATAAGCCTGTTCTGAACAGAAATAAGAACTGTTTGGAAGCAGCAAGTTGGTGAAGTTTGTCCTTCATCAACTGATGAAGGACAGCTGCTTTGGGTTGTAACTTGCCTAAGCAGGGCATTACCTTTCTCACTTCCTATTTAAACAAAATTAGTACTGCTATTATATTACTACTGCAACTGAATATATTTTATCAGTTCTGGAGGTAACCTTCCCATCACCTTTTAACCTAGTGAACAAAATGACCACTGTAATCTATCTGTATATAATCTCAAGAGCTGTTTCTCTAGTATCCTTCAGATGTGAAGGTGTTTTTATGAGACAAGACATAAAAACCCTTTAATTTATGATGTTTTCAGATATATGCTTTTTCTTCTATAAATAAATTATATCTAACTTAAATATCACATATTTTAACACAATTTTATGTAAATCTACATGTAGATTGGAAAGCTTACTAATCAAAAGATTTTTTTAAAAAGCAGTGTGCTAGTTTTCAACTCAGTCTTGCTTGTCCAGACCATTAGAGATCGCCTGTAATTTCACATTACTGACTTACAGGTATCACTTTACAGCACATTACTTTGCTTTTCCATTCCAACTAAATACCACCCATGTACTAAGGGAAGTGTCTAATTTCAGCTAATTTTGGCATCTCAAGTTTTCTAAACTGGTCTCTATTGTCATTGAACAAGAAGGCCTCTTTGGGTGAACCATTCTTTGTGTTTTAGCCACCTCTTGCAGACCAAGATCCTGTTCTGTTTAACTCTTCTGGTGATGAGGATAGCTAATCAGACACTGATTGTGAAGTACAGATGTTTATGGTTCAGTCAGATGACTTATACAAAGGTATATAAATGGAAAATCAAGGTAGAATAGCTAGTAAATGGTGAGACCAAATTTTACTGTGAATTTCCTGTAATCACAGTCCTTTAATGTCAGTTGGTCCGTATTTAAAAATTGGATCCAAGTGGTATCCTTCTAACAGCATGAAAACCAATAAACGTACTACTGGCAACTGAATTGCTCAGATACTGCAGTAAGTTACACATATACGTATTTTGTATGTATATCTGTATGCATTCCCAAGTGTCTCTCTCAAATTATTTCAGATGGAAAAAAACAAAGTAACATTAAACTAAAGAACTCCTTTCTACTAAGTAACACTTATAACCCTGAACTCCTGCATTACATATACATAAGATCTACCTTATGCAACAGGTTTAAGAGACCTATCAAATTTCTTGCACTTAGTAAGAGACACTGTTGTCTCCTGCTTCTATATTGCTTGCTGATGAACTATATCCCAATTTATGCAGCAGAACTGCTCCCTCCTGCAGCCCAGTCTTGTGCACCAGTGGTACCAACGAACCAGCGTGGCACTTGCTGAGACCTCCTGTGGTATTCTATTTGCTGTTAGAGAAGAAGAGAACTCTGGAGCTAAAAGAATACATTATTCCACATGGGAAAATGAACAAGCAAACCCAAAGTTTAGCTGATGTGAACTTAGCTGAAGTGTGACTCTCTCCTTTTCACATGGTGCCAAAAAAACAACAGGCTGTGAGCTAAGAGGACAAGTTTTATGTTTCATTCTCCTGTCTCACAATTTTTACATATACTATGAAACTGGTCTTTGACATCAATTCAAACTATTTTATCAGAAGAAATTGTAACGAGACCAGCTGTTACTCCTGCAAGAAACCAGTAAACTGTAATACTGATATTTGAAAGCTGCTGGCTAGTAGTAACATGACAGGAATAAGAGGTGTGCTTGCCAACATATGCTCTTTTGTTAAAAGGATGGGCCCTGATACTGCTTTGCATGCTGTTGCCAGACTTTCTGCAAAGATGAAAAGCAGCATTTATGCTGGCAGGATTTAAACACAACAGCATTAACATTCAACTCATACATGCTGAATAGAGAAGAAAGGCGATTATTTGCCTTTCCAGCTAAGTCATTCTGCTGCTATGACATCTCTTCCTCTTTCTCATTTGACGATTCCGTGAATGAACACTAAAGCTCCCAGTTATACCTTCCCTTCTATTATGGGTCTGCTTTTCCTGACTGCTATTTTTCTTCCAGCTATGATTAAGAGAAAAAGGGGGGTTGGGAACCATGCCAGACCTATGATACAGACAAGAGCAGTAACTGTGCATAGCAATAGAATTCTTGGTGGCTCAAACATGTAACTGAAATCTCTAAAAACATTTTTCCAGTTTGCTTTAGACAACAGAAATCCATAAAGTTGATACAGGACATTAGATACAGATTTCTACAGGAAAATGTCACTGATGAAGATGATACTGGCCTGGAAAAAGAAGGTTAGATTAGAACATCTCTATTTTAAGAAGACGATGTTGCTAGAGCATTTACAGAAGAAGAAATATCCAAACAAAAAAATTCATTAGCATTATACCTTACAAGGAAAACATAGTAAAAAATATTTTAAGTATTAAGCATTAACAGTTTAATACACAAATGTTACCCCCAAAATGTTTATGTAAAATCTTATCTTATACTCTGTTCATGTAATTCCATCAAAAACTACTTCAGCGGAGACAAGGAGCTGTGGGTGTCTGTTAAGTTTCAAGTAGCAATGAATCTACTACTCTTTGTTTCAAGCCCACTCTGTTTTCACATCCTCTGTTTGTCTGAGAGATGGGGACTGTGCACTCCCACATGAATTCCCCAAATTTTGCTCCTCTCACATCTGCAGGACCAACCCTTTTCTGCTATCTGCTAGCAACTGCCCTTAAAGAGAAGCAGAACAATTTGCCCTAAAAGTGAAGAAGCCCAAACATTTAATTTCTCTTTCATGGGAATCCACTGCTCCATCAAGCTTATACATCTCTAGTTTTCCTATCTAGTTTTAAATCCCCATGCAAACATTCTTGCAGCATTCCCTTCCACCTTCTCCTCCTCCTCAATCAGCTTTCCTGTGTTAGGGAAGTATGTAAATGTGTTTACTCTTTTTCCTGCCTTTAGGTTCAGAGAGATGGTTCTCTTACTTCCTCAAGCAGAGAGATTCTTCCAATTTTTTCCTCTCTCAGTGCAGCTGACACCTTAGAATCAACAGAGGATCTATTCAAGAAAGCACCTCAGGCAGTACAACAGAATGCTTCAGGACAGCAATACACGTCTAGGCTGCATTTCAAGAAAAAAAAAAAATCCCCTCTGAACGTTCCAGATAGCCTACAACTTGGATGTCTCTGCTTCTAGGAGATCCCCAGCAGCTGCACAGGATTAGAAGGATGCTGTCTCTCAGCTGCTTTATGCCAGTTTTGAGCTGAAGCCCTTTTTTTGGTTTACAGCCAGAGGACAGCTTACCAAAGAAGGCAAATTTGGACCTATGCAAGTGCAGCTCCCTCTCAAAGTCCAAGACAGTTGTCAGGGTACAAAAAACCAATCTAACGATGCTTTTCTTTTTTACAGATCTGTGTTTTTGTTCTTCCCTCCCTCCTCCAAACTCGTATTTGTGGCTCTTCCTTTCTGTCTGTTTCCTGACTCTCAACCTCAACCTCAGTATTCCAATACCCTTCAAAATTAACGTTGTCTCTGCATTGACTTTGGTACTCACACTTGTATTTCACAGGTTAGTCAGTCTCAGTAATAATCTCCTAGAAACAGAGGTGCTTATTCTTCTCAATATCTGGACAAATCTGTGGATTTTCAGTATAGATGAAATCACAGATCACAACTCCAGAGAAACAACCAGGTCTTCTTCTGGTCTACTAGAACACAAGATGACTTTTTTCTGTTTGCCAAGGGCTCTGAGTTAATCAGAGACAACATCTGCTAATCTACAGAGGAACATTTAACCTGGTATTTACTTCATGGATGCCAAGGTATTAACTGTACCATGGTTATTCAGATCTAGCACAACCTAAACAACTTCACAGTGAAGGTATTAACTGAATCCAACTTCAGTTCATTTATTCCAGAGAACCTTCTGGAGCAATACTCATCTTCAGTGAACAAAGAGTAACTTTAGCTCTGCTACAAGAAGTTTGGGAAAAACTCTTCAGTGACAAAAACCTAGTCAGACACTGATGAGCTATGAGTATTGCAAAAGTTACAAATTTTCCAGGAACAACCTTTCCTTCATCTGTATGCTGGAAGCAATGACCCAGAATTCTCTACTGGGCTCTTCCAGAGTTTACATGTATTGACAAGAAGTTACAGAGTCAACCATCATTTATTTTCAATAGTCAGGATGAAAAGAAAATAAAAGGCCTAAACAAGGAAATAGAAGGCTGGAACTTGAAACAAATAAGTATGTTCCACAATTTCACATATACGGAATAAAAGGAGGAATTAGGCCAACTACTAAGAGAATGACTAGAAATAGGAACAAGAATTCTTAAACTGGACTGTGCAAGAGAACTCCTCCTGCAGCCGAGATGCTTTCTGTTCCGTGCTCCAACAAGTTGATAAAAGTCTGTTCCTGATACTGACAATCAAGAGTGATTAGACAGTCTGCCATTCATCATGCCAGGAATCTGGAATTTCAGTCTTGCACCCTTCCCTCCAACTGCCCAAGAGGCCAAGAACATGAACCAATAGCAGGCTGCAGTCATGCTGGGCATGCTGTTCAGTCACAAGAGCCTATTACTGTTCAGCCTAAAGCATGTATCAGAACATAAGATACTGATACAATTCCTTGCTTGAAAATTAAGGTGATTTTGAGTGTTGATCCATAAAGTTCAAGTGGTAACATTTTTAAAATATGGCCTGATAGTTTTCTTTCTCGTATCTATCAGATCTACTATTAAGTGCATCTACCAGAAGAGCCAAAGTACCTAACTCGTGCTGGAAAAAATAACACTAAAAAGATAAACAGAAGATTCTTTAAAAAATAATTACTAATTTTCATTAAAGCTGCCTGCTTGTTCATTTCTCATTGAGGAATTTTTGCAGTCCACTACTTCTTAATTACACGGTTTACCATACTTCCTCCTTCAGTTAAAGCTACTCTGGGCCTAGACACTTGTTTTATGCTTAAGAAATATAAAACATTAACTCCAACAAAATTTCTCCTTTTTTTGCCCAAGCTACAGAAAATAAAGGGGGAAAAAGAGCAGCAAACTGCAGATGTGGTCCAAGTTGCAAAAACTATCTCTTTTTAGAGTACCTCAGAAGTCTGATAGCTGAGGTGTTATTCTAGAGTTGGGAGGGAAGTAGACTAAGATGATGACAGTAGTCTGAGTCTCCACTAATAGAGCAAATGTTTTATCTTCCAGGAATACAAGTCAACTAACTCAATCTTCAGGGATGAAGTTGCTGCATCAAAAATATACACTAGCACATGCTAGAGAAGATCTCATATGCAGAGATTTCTCAGACAGCAACCTGGTACATTCCATCTTGAAGTACACCAAAACTGCATGATATTTTTTTTGTTCTGTAATGCCTTCAGCGTGTACAGATACCAAAGACTTCTGATCTTCAGTGATAAACACATCTTTTAACTGCTGAGTTCTCTCTACCATATTCTTTCTTTCCTGTCACGTTTTAGACTTCCACACAACTGGTGGAGAATTCTTCATTTACTGGCATTTTCTCATTCTGAGTAATTTTCCTAAGTTTGATGGAGCACTAGATTTCCAAGAAAGAGAAAAATAGTATTATATTCCTTACCTGAATTTTGTCTTCTCTGAACAGGAATCTGCTGCTCTGTCAGGACCCACCCTGTGCTGGTTGCATTCAGCAACTCTTTTTGTATTCTGGCTTCATGGGGTTGGTCAAAGCCTTTCTCATCAGAGGTTTTCTGGTTGGAGAGAGAAAGAATTGCAAATGTACTCTGCCTAGTTTGTTTTTTTTTCTTGTGCCTCTATTCCAGCAGGGTGACTCAGAGTTTAAATCTGTTTGTTTTCTTTGAAATTCTACAGCTTTGCACCTGTCAGTAGGGTCTGGAGAGACGTCTGTGGTTCCACCTACACACCAGGCGAGAGGGCTCCCGAACAGGCTTCTCAGCCTTGGTGGAGATGGGGAAAACCAGCAGTTTTCTAAGTTTGATGGAGCAGGGGATTTCCATTCAGAGAAGACAAAACTAATGAAGGAAACGGATTTTTTCAAAGAACCCTTATTTTAAACTGCAGCAGTTTCAGTACCATGCAGGGTTTTTTCTGTCTTGCCTCAGAGTTCCTAGAAAACTCTTCCACTCTGAGGGGTTTCCTACAGCTCTCAGCACTCTGAATATCTACTATTCTGAGAGTTTCAGAGAGAGATGTGTAATGAATTCTGGGGTTAACAGGAAAGTTGTATGTTAAGAAAGATTACTTATATGGCTGATAAGTTTCAAGACTGTAACTCAGCTGCTTAAGAGGATCTGAATGTTCTTGCTGTCAGAGAAAAGGAAAAGCAAAAAGTATTTTTATTTGAAAGACCACCATGCTTGTCCACTCTAGAAATAAGCCTTTGAGGGAAACAACAACAAAAAAAATCAGTATTCGAAAGACTGGCAAGGGTTGAAGGAACTAAATCTGCTGTTCCAAGCCTGAAAAATAAAAGCAGAACGTACAGATATGCTACCTTTTTACAATATTCACTACTTCCTGGAAAAGAGTTCTTTCATCAGTAGCGTAACTGACTTCTAGTCCTGTAACTCCAGATCTTGTAAGCAAGGGGGCTTGGTCTCTGCTCCCTAGAAAATAAAAGTAAAAAAACCTGTTACAATTTAGAAGCAATTTCATTACTTCAGTTAACAATACTACTTTAGAATAAAACATACAACCAAAAAGAAGTACGGAACACAACTTATTTTTATCTTTAATAATTATCACAATTAATTCCATGGACTTATTTTGTTCCTCTTGGGTGGAATAATGTTTTCTTTTCACTCTGTAGAATTCTGCCAGAGTGGTAATCTTGCACAGATTCTCAGATAGAAACAAACCCAATTCACGAGAAACTTAACTATTTTACATGCACAGGAGTCCAGCTCCTGGAAAATTACTTTTAATAAGAAATATTAAATGACTATATGACAGCTCACACACTGTTTTTATGGAAAATATAATTTTAATTGCTATCTCAGAGTAGTGCTTTGCAAAATGCCTTACAGAATGAAAATGCTATATAACAGCACAGTTCTTTTTTTTCAGCACACTAAGTTACTGACAGAAATGGAAAAACGTCACCAACTGCTCACTTAGTGCACATTAGGAGTGTCCACATTGATAATGTCTGAGTAATATCTAAATTTGTATGCATGTAGGAACTCAGCATTTGCCTTCCATATTAAAAAAACCCCTCTTTAAATGAATAATGCACAACACATATTCTGTTTTCTCTACAAAACAGGCAATATGATCTCTGATACAGTGACGACGTAGATTCTAGGAACTGGAGTTTTTAAAAGGCATTCTACTTTGACACATTCTTAAGATCTTAAGAATTAAGAAAAGTGTGCTTTCAGAAATAAACGTTAAAACAAGTACTGTGACTTACAAAGCAATAATAACACAAAAGGGGAAAAAAAGATGTATGTCAATGTCAAGTCACTCCACAGGGAACTCAAAAAGTTCTAACCAAGAAAATATTGACAGCACACATCAATTAAAGCAACGAATGTCACAATAACATTTAAACACATCATTTTATTTCACTAACAAAACCAGACCCAAACCTTCGTTTTTTCAAAGTATCATTGGACCTATTACAGAAAGCTTTTTCTTGATAAACTATCAGTGGCACACACACCTAGGGAGCCATAGTGGCTATACTGTAGAAAAATCTCAGTAAAGTAATAGAAATATTTTTTTAAGATAGTAACAAGCATATAATACCAAAATAAAATTCACTGAGAATAAGAAGAACTTAGCTTAACATGATATAATATCTACAATACTTTGAAAAATACACTGAAAAATACTTTGAAAAAGAAGAAGCTATTGCCTTATTGCTAATGTTTTTTGTAGGTTTTTGTCCATGCTTAAAATTTTAGACAGTATTTTGTGGTTTGATACACATTCACATTGCCAAAGAAACCCTGAAAGAAAGAGGACTACTTTGGGGATGTTTTTTTGGTTGGTTTTTTTTGGTTGGATTTTTTTTTTACTAGCCTAAACCAGTGGTACTCAACCTTTAACAGCTGGAGAGCCACTTCTTAATAAAATGGAGTTGCAGAGCACCATAAAAAATCAAGTATCAACGGTGTGATTTTTTTTTTTCCATCATGACACTTCAATGTGTGACGATTCTGCCTTAATGCCACCACACATTGATACATCACGACATGACACATCAGCATCCTCTCTCCCAGCAGCATTCTGTCTTCAATCCCTTCTGGCTGCTAGGAGGGAGTGGGGTGGAGGGGTGGAAGGGGCAAAAGGGCAAGTTTTTCCCCATTCTGCCCCACAGCTGCTGGGTGGGAGGTGATCTCTACTCTTACCTGTGGGGGGATCCCAGCAGCTCCTTTTCTTTCCCCCTATGGGAGGGGGAACTTCAGCGACTCCCACACTGCTGGTCCATTTGCTCAGTGCTCCCCGCGCTGCCTGATAGAGTGGAGCGCCGATCAGATGCCTACATTGCGAGAGCCGCCTGTAGGGCCATGAAGAGCCACATCCGGCTCTAGAGCCACAGGTTGAGTATCACTGGTCTAAACAAAGCCAAAAAGGTACAATAGAATAAGGGCCCCTGTTTAGATCCTAAAAGGATCAGATAAAACCACAAAAATAACCCTTAAGTAAAATATAAAACATACTGTCTTGCTTTTAACATTTTCTACTTGCAGCTATCCAGCAACTCGAGTAGGAAACTAAAGGCAGGTTTTCCTCTTTACACTTTTAGAACACTGCAGGAGCTTGTCCACAAGTATGCAAACATGGATATTTTGCACACGCAAATGCCATTTGTGGTTTACAGCCCATGCAATAGTTCTTTGGAAGATATAAGCAGGAAAACTCCATATTTAATATGGCCATTCAACAAGACAAAATTAAATGAGATACGTAGTAATATAGATACTCTATTACATTTTGCTTGCTACTGTTTGATTACTATGAAATAGCATTTCTGTAAAATATAATATGAAAAAAAGAAATAGGAACCTTGGCTTGAGAGCGTCCTGCCTCTATCAATCACTATAGCACCAGTGATTTCTTTTTTGTCAGTATTTGGCAGGGCTGAGTCTGATGAGATGCAGTAGAACAAAGCACAGATCGGATCAAACTCTGGATCTGGTTCCAAATCTCGTCTTGTTCGAGCATGCAACTCCATGCTGATGAGGGTAAGGTGCTGGACCTAGCAACAAATAAAGACAGCATGTTAGTTTGTTCTGCAGGTTTCTTAAAAAAATAAGAGAATACTATCTGTGCAAATGAGGACAGTGCAGACATTTATATGGTGGTATTACATTGTAACTACAAGGTTCCACCCTAAAATTAAGAGAAGTTATTAACTATGCATCTTTGGATCTCACTTTTTTGCAAATAGCACCATCTTAGGAAAACTAAGATCCATCATTAAACACAGCTTTAGAGTCAGTTATGAAAATTCAGTATATGTCTCTGAGTACTGTATTCTTCTACTAAAAGCAGAAAATAAGACAAAAACCAGATAATGTTCAACTTCAACAATTGTAAATTCCTGTAGTGTTTTCAAACACCTTTGTATATTGAGCTGAATCACATTTCTGAACTGATCAAGAAGAAAGAATCACTCTTGGTCTTCCTTCTCCCTTTCCCCCCTCACCCAAGACAAGCATGAAGACTAAGCCTTACAGGAAGGTAGGGAGAATACCTAACTTTGCCTTCAGGTGCATTAATGAACTTCCACATCATATTGCCAGAGCTTTTTGCAGAATGGTTTACATTTAGAAAATGCTAATCCCTATATACTGTCAACTTTTGACTCTGCAATAAAGACAGTATTATTTAATACAGTTTCAACACTATGTTGCTGCTCTGTTGTCTTGCATAATATTGCTCATAATGTGGATTAATGGAGAGGTTGGACAGATTATGAGAGGAAAATTAAAAGTATTTCTGTGTATATAGGATGCTCTGGGGGCAGCCTGATTTCCTCTAGATTTGCATGCTAAATCGCTACAAACATCACTGGGTGAAGTTTTACTATCAAAGCTCCATCTTCCCCAGGATCACTGTGGCTTCTCTTATGTCCTTTACTTAGTGCTATCTCCCTATCTCATCTATAAATTGGCCAACAGCTAATTCCAGGTGTGCAGACTGTCTAGAGTCTGTATATGACTGTCTCACATACACAGGCTGCTTGCCCTGTCAGCAGCCAAACAGCAGTACTGTATTTATACTGCTCCCCTTTCTCCAGCACTTGGATTACTCTCCCCACACCAAACACTCACCTACATTAGGTAGATATAAAGAGACCTTCTTTGAGATAGGCATCCTTTTGTTAAATGGAGTAGAAACTGCCCAACAGGTTCAGAAGGTAACAAGCAGAAATACCAGGAGGGCCTTATTAATTGCTGCTGGATGCCATATTTCTTAAGGAAACAATCCATGAAAATTATGGTCAACTAGTTTTTAAAGTAATGTTTTATGCAAAACTTACTATTTCTTCCTTCTGATTTTTCCCTTATTTTTAAAGGGAGTTTTACCATTTTCTCAATCAAAATACTGTGAAGTCTAGTTCAATACTGTTAGAGGCATTGGCCATCAAGCTGAAACTGGTAGACTTATAAGTTGCAGACATCACACACTGATTAATTTTTAAGTCACTTAGGGACCCAAGAGAAAAAGATCTTTTATTTTCAGTTTAAAAATAACTTGATAAATTTTAATTTTATGTGATGTGACATGTGATTTTAAGTGACATGTAAGAGTAAAGTTACCTCATGTAAAGATTTTGCTTCCTGGAGGTTTTCCACACTGACTTTAAAACCATAAGTATTATTTAAAGACGGTCCTTCAATCTGGGAAGTCTCTTTCTTTGGAGCACCGAGGGCAGCAAATTGATTCTTATCAGGCAGGTGAAGAAAAGAGAAAACACAGGTTGCTAAATTCATATGTAATATTAAATAATAGGCAATAGTAAATACAAATTTATCAATGAAAATGCAAATGCTACACTGCAAATTACTAAAAAGTCCCCAACCTTTTACTATCTCTTAATTCATTTTTAAACATGCAAACAACCACTGTATCTTTCTGCCTTTTAGGAATAATTTAAATTCATAGCAAAACAAGAGGCAGTTTTAAATACTTAAAAAACCTCCTAAACAAGCAAACACTCACAGAACCCTACCAAAAGAAAACCGCAGTCACACACACTGGCTTTCTCCGAAGTCTGAGGATATGGAAACCAGCAAGTCTCTATTCTGCCTTGAGCAACAATTTGTCAAAAAACTGCATTTCAGTCATCACCTTTTAAGGCACTGAAATAGAGGTAGATTAAGAACCTCCTTGAAATAGGTGAATACCAGTATACTGAGAAGAAAAAACTACTGGGTCACTCCAGTAATGCATCTAACCCTCCATTCTGTTCCAACATGGAGGGCAGAAACACTGTTTAAGTAAAACAAATCCAATCTCTTCTTCCTCTGTTGGCACAACACAAACTGCCCTCCTTGTTTTTAGAAAATACTTGGAACACTGTCTGAAAACTAATACACACAGAGACACAGAAATATACACAGGTCTGGGTATATGTATATAAAAAAGGGAAATCACACTACAATTTAAAAAGGATGTTGTAACTCAAAGAGCAAAACATCTTTACATGGTGTCTCTTTAGTGTTTCACTAGTATCTCACTACCCTAGAGCAGCACCCTCAATCTCTAACTTACACCCGCTTCCCCCAAATTAAACTCATAAATTTCTTTCTAACTTTGAGCATGCTCTGATTCTACAACATTTGTACCATACAATTTTAAATGTATTTTCAAGATCTTAACAGCAAAAGACAAAAACAACAAAGAAGAAAGAATAGAAATGTGTATATGCCCCAAAATAAAATACATCTGTGCAGAAAATGTTAATTTACCTTCATTTGTGTAGTTAGAAGTACTCTTCGAAGACCATCAGTATTACTTCCCCTCTTCTGGCTCAGTTTCTGAGCTTTTGGTTCTGTAAACATGAGTGAAAGACTACTTAGCCTCAATAGTATTGTCTAGGCATTAAACAACATGCAAGAAACAAAAGAGGCATTTCATTAACATTACAAACAAATATTACATACATAAGCAAATACAGCTTTATCCTTTGTCAAATCCAAAGCACAACTACTACAATTTGGTATTTATGGACATATAGGAACATAAATAAGTTACAAAGCCTCACATTATTATAATTTTGAACATTGCAATGTTACTCACACTCTACATTGAGATTATTTTTTTGAAAAATAAAAGCAATATAGTCAACAAGATTAAAAAAATCCCCCAAAATAAACAATACTCCTAAATTAAGCTTTTAGCCAGTACTTCAGAGTTCAGATACAAGAGACTGTTAGGAAGCAAATGGATGTTCTACTTCTAGACTTTTTCAATAATTCAATAGTTACTCTAACAATAATGCATGTAACTTTTCCTTTAAAAAAACTAATTTAAAATATATTTTCACAGAGATGTAATTTTTTTCTTATAATGTCAAAAGAAATATATTTAGATTTGTGTGTGTATTATTAGAATCATTTAATGGATTTACCTGCAGATAAAGGTGTAAAACCAAGAACTTCAGGTATTCCATCTTGTTTTTTTCGGTGCACAATGGGTGTACTGTGTAGACAAACTGATTCAGAATTTCCAGGATCTTCATTAAGTGGAAATGGAGACGTGTCAAAGGATGTCTGAATGTTCTCCTGGGTGCATGGAGAATTTTGTACACTTCCAACATCATTTCCTTCCACAGAAGACAAAATAATATCCTGATTTTTCCACTCTGTGTCTTCTAAACTGGACTGTTTAGGATCTGGAGATGCCACCTGTTGCCAAGGAGGAAGCACTGGAGAATCTGGAGAACTGTAACTGACATAATAATCTTCCTCCTCCTCCTCCTCCTCCTTATCGTGTTCTAGAGTTGAAGTAGTGTGTGTCTTGCTTGCACATGAAGTTTTATTAGAGTCTATGTCATTTTTAGTATTTACAGAAGTTCCTATGGTGCTTATAGACTTATCACAGGTCTCCTTGGTTGGAGTTTTTGTATTTTCTGCCACGGAGGCAGGAGAATTTTTTGTAGGCACAATAGGTCTTTCATCTTCCAGGCTAGACAAATCCAAATCTTTAGCTACTTTTATTACTTCTATAGATTTCTCTTCAGACAATACTGCAGAGTTGATATTCTCATCTGCCTTTGCCTGCTCAGCAGGATGACTCTTAGGCAATTTCTTGAAATGTTCATACTCTTCTTTGGCATGAAGCCATATCTGAACTTGCTGTTGGCTTGGAGCACATTTGCATGGCATTATGACTATTTTTTTGTCTTCACTAGTTTTATGGCTATTACTTTCTCTTTTATTAACAGTAGAGTGACCATAATGAGGAGGAGATCCGGGTCTAGGACTTTCTGTCATTGCTGAAAATGCAGTCTTCCAGAGTCGTAGACCTTCTAATGAGAAGTCCCCCTCAAACTCGAGGAGGTCATTTGGAAGTCTGGTTTCCACTGTGAGAAGCCGCCCTCCAATCTCCCTGTGAAGAAAAATAGTTTGAATTACTGTTTTACTCCAAACTGCCCCGCAGGCAGTCCTCCAGATGATAGAAAAGCAGTGTACTGCTAACTAGTTTTCTCACTACGTAATTCCCATGGGCAGTATTTTTATTTTACAAACCATGAAGGCTAATTCCCACTTACTACAACAATATGTAATAAAAAATCCGAAGTATCATGAAAGAAAATGGGTATTTGGAGTGAAAGCACAATAATTTTCAACTTCAAATGGATGAATATCAGATGGGATCTTTCACGTATCCATGCTACCTAAGAGCATAAAATTGTTTACAGGAATAAATTACATTTAATATAATCACAATCACATGTAGACAGAAATGCATTTAACACAGTACCTTGGCTTTTCTGGAGCATCTGAAGGATTGCTGCAGAACGGTTCCTGATAAACTGTTTCTGCCAGATCATGATCCACCAAAGTTGCCATGATTTCTTCACGACTGGGTGGGGACATGAGAGGCTTAAGAATGTGAGCAGTACGAGGTGTAAAGCTTCCATTCTTTGATTGTGAGGGAGAACTGGTTGATCTTGGGGAACTATCTGGAGTTGGAGTTAATGCTTCATTGTTTCTTGACACATGTAATTCTAAATCCTCAGAAGCTGCATCTAGAAGTTCACCATCAGGTGATGACAATAAGGATGTAAAAGAGGTATTAACTGAATCAAGTGGTTGACAGGGTTCAAAAGTGGTTTCTTTTCTAATCTGGCTTTGAATCCAGTCTGAGCAGGTCGGCTGAGAAAGATTAAGAAATCTCTCTTTATTTACCGTATTTCTATTCAATTTGAATTTTTCATTTAAACAGACTTCAGTCTCTTGGGTACAAGAGGTATCAATAAAACTAGATCTAGAAGTTGAAGATTGAATGGTTTTCCTCCATTGACTATGGCAGTGGTTCTCAATATTATCTAGTGAGGTCTTCTCAAAAAGTTCAGGGCTCAGGGAACCAGACCTTATCCATTTATTTGTGCTTGAAGAATGCTGCTTTTCTTCCTCAGATTTTTGGTCATTATGACATAGAAAATCACCTTCTGTTGTTTGTCCAGAACCAAGATCCTGAACTGCATCACTCAAGAATTTCTGGGGCAAATTTTGATCTGCTGGGACAAACTGGCTTGCAGAATAAAAACTGCAAAATCCACTTTGCCCTATAGTGTTAATATCAAAGTTGTAATTGTGGTCTGGAGATAAGCTGTCTTCAAGTGAATAACAGCTTTCAAAACCAGGGTCTGAAAAAAAAATGGGGCTGTCATTAGATACAGAATGATCAATGCGATTAGTAATTGGCTGGCTTGAAGACTCCTTTTTTGCAAGTTTTGCTGTTTTTTCTTTAGGTTTTGTGCTCCTGGGAGAACGAGATTTTCTTGATGATGCGACTGGCCGTGACCTTTTGATGGCTTTATTCTGTTCAAGAGGGCATGGTATGCCCTTGCTCAGCTGTGTTTTGTCTGGCAATGGCTCCTGTGCAATACTGGCATTCTGAGCTTTCTGCTGTCTCTTCTGGAGCAACTCTTTCAAAACAGCCAGACCAGACTGTCCTTCACCAAATGTTGATGGGGCCACTATATTCCTGTTTTTATACTGGGAGATGGGTTTTGGTTGCATGGTTGTTTCTGACAGAGGCCTTTGTTTTATGGTTTCTGGTTTAAAATGTGACATATCCAAAATAAATCCTCTCTGGTTTTGATCACAATTTAACTGTTTCACTGGACTCTTCAAAGATGTTACAAAACAGTTTTTAGGCAGTTGAAGTGGCCCAGGATTTTCCTCAGATGGCTTAATAGAAGAACAAGGATCAGAATGCTTGGACGCCTCTGGTAAACAAAAAATCTGCTGTTGACTATTGTCTTTACAATGCAAATAGTTAGTGGTACGTAATTGATCCATCTTTGCTGTGTCCAGAGAGTCACGAGTTTCACTTAATTTCCCAGCTGGTGGCAAATATCTCACTTGCAAATTTTTTATCTCTTCTGCTTTTGGAGAACTCTTATCTTTTGAGATATGAGCATTCTGTGTTATGTGCGTTGAGTGATTAGATGGATCAAATATGTTTTGAATGAGAGCAGAATCCTTCATTCTAAATATGGCACTCTGAGTCCTGGACCTTTGAGAACTCATTTTTGGTACTTCCCTTACAGATGCTGTGGGAGTAGATGTGAAAGATGCATGAGGGTCTTCCCGTGGAGCAGGCAAACACTGTGCATCTACAGGCTTATCCATTTCCATCAGTGAGTGAAAACAGCCCGATGAACTACCTTGTGCATCAGCTGAAGGGAGCTGTGCTGATGGCAGATATCCAGCTGAATAGCCAGGAAGAGGACTGTCTTTGAGGTTGTGAAGTGGCTGAGAGCAGACAGAGTTGTAAGAAATCTCATGAGGATCTTGATGCTTCAGCACAAACTTGACTTCTGTAGTAGAGCGACTACTTTCTTTTTCATCTTTAAATACAACGCGTTTTCTTGAGGACGCTTTTTCAGCCATTTTTTGTTTTGTTCTAGGTTTCTTCTTTCCATCATCTGGTGTTTTATCAACCTGATTAATCTTTTTCTTTTTCTTGGTAGATACAGTGGGGCTAGCAAATTTCTTTTTACATTTCTTAACCTGAGTTTTTGCTCTACTAGTTTTTCCTACACTAGTATTAACAGTCTTGCTGTTGTAGATATTGGGCCCCCTACTAAATAAAGCTTCTCTGTCCAGGTTAGTCAAAATTTCTTCTGCTTTTGGATCAGTGGGAGACCAGCAGCGAGGTGGAGATGTGTTTACTGGGCTTGTGCTTCTCTCAGAAAGAAAACCTAACTTAGACATAACATCACTATAATTATAGTCACAGTCTTCAGCTTCAGCACTATAGGAGGGCGAAGGAGGAGAAAGAATTGTATGAGTCCTTTTTCTGAAAGATAAAGTTCTTTTAATATTTGTACTACCTGTTTTTTGTGGTTTTCCAGCTTTTTTCTTGGTTGACTTATGCTTTGCTTTCCTTTTGTGACTTTTCTTTGGTGTCAGTGGATAAATAGGATATTTGGTTGCAGGAGAGTCGGGAACTTTTGGCCAAAAGTCCTTTAAAGGTGCAAGCTTTTTATATAAATTCATCTTTTCCTCTGTGAGTACTACTCTTTCCTCACTAGAATCTACTTTCCCCAATTTAACAAGCATATTTTTTCTCCCTCTAAATCTATTGATGATAATATATTTAATAATAACGGGTGGCAATTTTTTAGAAAGTTTTCTACGCTTTCGAGACTTCTGAGACCCATCCAAACTTTCAACACTTTCTATTGGTTGAGGTAGATTAATTTTTGAGTTGTGTGCGATGAAGCTCGATTCACTGTCTTCAGTCTCATAATTTACCTTCCGTTTCGTTCGGAGCGTGTACTTATTCCCACACAGTCCAAATGACTGCTCAGCTTCAAGAGATCCATCTGCAAACTGGCAGTCAGTGTAATTAGCAGTACTTGTAGGCATTTTGTTTTCAAAAGCCTCAAGAGGAACTTGAACTAAGTCACTAGGTAAAGCACTATCCTTATCAGGAATGTTACTACAAGCATTACCTTGTGTATAGCAGCCTTCCTTCACTGATGCAACATCATTCACACTTGCAGGCTCCTGACGATTGATAAAACTATGCTTCTTTTTATTCAGTTTCAGCCTGGACTGTTTGTTGCCCTGCTGTAATTTGTACGTCACGGGAGCTAACTTCTGTGGTCGACTGAGACAATTAGAAAGAACAACACTAGGAAAGAACATATAATGTGCTGCTTGCTGACTGAGGCTTGGCTTTTCTGCCTTGTGCTCCTGAAATTCTTCATACCTAATTTTAAGCTTATTAAGGCCACCTTCATCAGTGTTATTTTCAAGTGAATGTACCACAGTTCGACTGCCTCCTGAACAAGATACCAATTCACAATTTTCTGTAGCTGTTGCTGGAAAAAAACTATTTATATTTGCACTGCCAGATTTTTCATTTACTTCAGAGGATATTTTACCTTTGGAGTGGCTCATATCAGTGAAGTTATATAAATTTTTATTCAACATGTTGTCACCAATATGGCGGCCCACATGCATAAAAGAGACATCCTTTTCAGCCTTTCTAATGCTAATGTACTTCCTACTAGGTATTGGTCTGTTCACTGATGAAATATCATCTTCATAGTCGAAAATATTATTTCCACATGAAGGAACTGGGAGAGTATCTTTCTTGTTACTCTCTTTGTGAGAGTTTTCTGCATGGGTACTATTGCTGAATGGAGTTGGGTACTTGGCTGAGTAAGTGCTTTCTTTTGTAAGAGAATGGACCGAAAGTTCAGGTCTTGTTTCTGTGTTTGGTTGTGAGAGGTCTTCTACAAAATCTTCATTATTCAAAACATGGTTAGAAAGGGCACTTGTGTGTTTACACTGAAAAGTAATTTTAGCAGAAGATGGGGGTTCTAGTGTAGCAGCATCTTTGTGAAAGATTGAGGTCTTTACAGACATTTTGCTTGTTGCAATGACGGAGGAGTGAGTTCGAGAACTTTCATTGTTCAAAGGATTGTCTGAAATGGAAGAAAAGCAATTTTATTCTAGTTTTCCTGTAATAAATAACCTAAGGCATTAAAAAATTTAATAGTATTTTCCTGAAAGCATTCACATCCAAATAAGAAACAAAATTCTTGCAAATCACATTACATTTATCATCATGACAACTAGAGACCCTGACTATGTGAGTTGCTTTATCAAAATCACATTGTCAGTACATTTGTCTCAGGCATTTTGTCAGTTATTCCTCAATGGCAGACTTGCATAAAATTGTCAAAGACTTCACGCTGACTTTCTGAAAGAAGGCTTCACAATCACTTTCAGATGACTATATAAAAACAGACTGATTTCCAAAAAAGTTTGCACCCTGCTTTGTCCCTGAGAAGTATGTATACTCATTGGCTCTGAAAAACAAAATTCTTATTTAGATGACCTTCCCCATGCAGAAAAATCATTGCACAGAAAGCTAAAGTAATATATCTCACAATACAAAGCAAGGGCTTTGTATGAACTGTGCTGTGTGCTAAACATAGGTAGCTTCCTGCACTCCTATAAAGCAGAGCTATACAGCACTCATTCAGGTGTTCATGCAAGAAGCTTGCACCAGTTAGTTGGATCCTGGACTCATATCCATGCATTAATGTTCCCACATAATCTCAGACTAGCAGGTGCTATGGTAATTTGTCCTGTGCAGACTCATCACATGGTATGTGTGATGATTTCCATCTCTTCTGGTGATACTTTCACCATATTTATTGTGGGGTAAGTATGGACAGAGACATGGTAACAAATTAACAAGTGTGTGCTTGCTCATAACCTCGCTGAACAAGTAGTTTGACAGAGGTTGTACCACTGCAGAGGCAGCTACCACAGTGCACCTGGCACACAGAAATTTGTTCATGTATTCACCTCTTTAGCTGAAATGTTGAAGGGGGATAGGAGTTATGAAACATGCTACATGACCTGAAAGCATGTGCTGCACACTGATGTAGTAGACTGGGGATCCTTTGGGCCTTTAGTCTAAGTCTCAACCGGTTTGGGGATCATTTTAGATTCATGCTGCCTTCAGCTTAGCAATTTATTTGCTGCTGGCTGAGAAAAATAAATGGAAGTCCCAATCTGTTTCTAGAATATTTTCTAATGCATACACATAGTCCCTGAGCTGTGAAACACAGCTGGGAGCCACTGCCTATTATTCTTTGAAGGTAGGAGTCCACAGAAAGAATGAGGATGATTAACTGAAAACTCAGAAAATGGGAGTTTGGCGGTGTCAATAAACACCTGGAAAATACCTGGATATTCAGATATAAAAACTGCAAAAAAACTTGTCAGTCAGTCAGATTATATGGACATGTGTGGATGGGCATTTTCTAATTCAGACAACCTGGACTGAGATCTGCTTTGAATTTACTGTAACTCAGAAGAAGTCAGTGTAAAAGTTGACAGTAATACACTTTCTAAGCTGGTGTGATATTTCACATACTAAAAATATGCTTAAATTTAAACAATTACTTAAGAAACAGTCTCTTTAGCCAGCAGCATCTCTTATTACAACAAATTAGAAAGTATGGCAAATAAGGAAATTACAATTGTGTATCTGACAAAAGCATACCATATTAACAGTACATCAAATCATGTATTAATCCTATCATTATACCCATAAAAACAAAGGGAAAAGCAAACTATGTTTTAAACACTGAACACGAAAGAATAGCTGTGGTTATCTATAATCTATTAGTAAAGTCATACAGTTCACTTTCTCAACTGAACATTATAATGCGACTTGCAGATTTTTTAATGAAACAAATAATATTATTTATATATTTCTCTAACTTCAAACTGTGCATTCTGTTGACTAATGTTATTTGATCAAAGACAACATGTTATAAAGGTGGCAAAAGATCTCTACAGATTAATTTTTTTTAACCGATTTTGAAAGGCAGTTCCTTCTGCAGTGGCTTTGCCACTGCATAGTTTTAACTCATGCAATCCCAAATGCAAATGTGCAATCTGTGGAATGAAACACAAGCCCAAACTAAAACTCATTATAGTTTAGCATGTGTGGCAAATACTTGCTATGAGTCATCTGAAACTACACAGTAATGCATTCAATATTTACAATAATCCTAGGAGGATAAATGATCCCACAGAATCATTGTTTTAATATCATATTTGTTTTTTTCCAGAGAACCAATTAAACTATGTCCTTTTTTGGATCATTGATAATTTGAAAAGCAGATTCTGGTAATTCATAGAGGGCGCTGAGATTAAAATACAAGTGTTTTTCAAGGAAGATGTTAAGGGCCTGCTTCTGCAATCTGCTGAGAACTTTTCCTTCCAATTGAAATGCAGACTGCAAATGGTCAGCACTTTTGAGAATTAGCAGTTTGATGTGAAAATGAACTGTGACTGAACTTCCAAAGCTGATTTTCTATTTACTTACCACCATTTTCATCTGCAGTTCCATCTAACTGAGGTATTGAGAGGTTAGTTAGGAGCATATTGTTACCGCTCCACTCCATTTCTTCCTCCGAAGACGAATCCTCTTCTGTTGAACTTCGATGCATATTTCTGCCAGCTGACCTGGAGGAAAGTGAAGGAACTAATTGATGCATGATACTTCTATTAGCAAACACCATGAGCCACAGGGAACACAAAACTCAATGGGGTGTCATGCTATGTGGTTGTGTAATTTGGGGGAGCAAAAGGAAACAAAGAAAATTTTGACACATTTCTCACTGAGAAAGTCAAAATATTATTCAATGTTACTATTACAAGAGGCAACAGGCGTAGCCAACTGTTTTAAACAGCAGGATTCACTAACTTAAGAAGATACAAAGTAAGCATTTTGATGTTTCAGTTCAATTTGACTGTGATTTAATTTCATTGCTTCAAAGTGCTTGAAGCTTGAAGACTAAACCAACTATGCAAAAAATTTCTTCAGTTTAGCTGTTAGCAAATAGATGTTTACTTTTTTGTGGTTTTTGTTTTTTGGTCAAAAAGTCTTTAGTCTATTATAACATTTATCTTTCAGCAGGCTTAACTAAATCATGGCAAATAAAACTATGCTTCATTCCACCTCTCACTGAGTATTCTGAAGCAGCTGTTGTTAATACTTAAGCTGCTTTCACTAAGTTAACTGTTCTACACTGCCATGTTTACAGTCATAAATTCACCGGGAAAAAAAAAGAAGCAAATCTACAAAGAAAAGCTTCCTTGGATTTTTTGTGCTTGCTTTATATGGGCATAGGGGAAGGAAGAATATCACAGAACATCATAGAAAACTACAAAGAACAAATCCTCCAGTATATTATAACTCTACAACCACTTAGGAATCTGATTTCTTCTTTAAAATAAAGTGTGAAATGGACAAAATTCTTACCAGAAATAAGCTATTCTGTGGCTACACTAAAGAAATCCAGATACATCTTAAGGAATTGAAGTTTGGGGTTTTTCAATTTATTTGTTCTTTGTTTAAGTTTGGGTAATACCTTAAAAAATATAAATATAAATTTTGAATTTACAGGAAGGAAAATCCACAATAACCTAAATACAGTTTACTTTTGCAGAACTCTTTTATGACTGGAGTTAGACCAGCATGAATTATATGTATGGTACCACCCCAGACATCTGAATGCCAGCACGGAGATAATTTAGATCAGGACATTTGTTAGTTCAGAAACAACAGGCTCAAATGTAAGCACATCATTTCCACTCACATCTGGAAGCATGACTTGGAGAATCAAGTAACAAGCACAGCTAGGTACAGTCTCCATGATGTGAGTTTAGTTGTCCCTCTCCTATGTTCCCAAAACATGGAAAAGCACAGCACAAAGCAATCAGCTTGATATGCAAATTAATATCAAACTGAGGATGTTTCTTACAACCTGAATTATACTGTAGCCCCAGGTAAATCTTTGTCAACTTAAGTAAACCAAATCAGCCTGGTGATGACTTCTGCAGGTAACTCGGATTTCTCCTCATTCAAGCCTATCAGTTTGGATTCCAGGAAAATTTATGTAACACACATGGTATCGCCACACATTAACTAGTCCAGGTCCTGGTGGGCTTTGTTCTCCTGATGGGCTTTTTTTTCCAGTTCAATACAAATCAAACCCAAACCATTTAATTTATTCAATAGGGTGTGCTTACTTAACCTCATTAGCTCAAAAGACTTTCTGAGATAATGTAGGACTGGTAAATATTCACTAACATAAAAGCCTTAGTATGGATAGGCAAGGATGCATTAGGAAGCCACACAGATGGAATGAGCCTGAGGAGAGTAAAGTCAGATCCATGATCAGACTCAAACTGATTCTTCATGCATGAGCAGAATCATGCAGTGGGCAAAGATGCCCATGGCTTGTGTCTGAAACCAGTCCAAATTCTGTAGAGATCTCAGTGAAACAGAACTTGTAATTCCCTCTGAACACAAGTTCACTCCCTGTGGAAGCACATGGTATGTACATTTTCCCTAGTGTCTTCTGTCTGGGATTAAGGTGTAGGCATATGTGAGTAAGATATTAGTGAGACAGCTCATCAAGTCTCTTGAGTTTTTAAATAGGATTCTCTACTGCATGAAAGCAGTTAATTGCTTCAGGATCCTACCTGACTCCTGAAGTTGTACAGTCAAGCCCATACAGAGCTGTACCTGAGCTAATGAATTCTGCAAGATACAGGTTTTCACAGTAACTACCACTACACTGAAGTTTGATGTTAAGTGTCTTGAATGGAAATTTCAACTTTTCAGACTACTGGAGGGAAAAAAACTATAGAAAACCAAAGATCAAATAGGAAAATTAGCTTTAGAGATCAATTATCTCTAGAACTAGGAGACTAATGAACTAACTTCTGATTCTGTTACAACTTTAATGTGCCTTTGGGAAATAAAAGAAGCATTTCTATACCTCTCTGCTTCTCTGAAACATAGTATGATTGCAATTTCTGATGTAGGAAAAACCCCAAATATAAAAATGTTATGTCTGTGAAGTTCCTCATACTTCAAACAGAATTATAAATATCATAAGTTGTGCTGAAAGCAGGGGTCAAGAGAAACTGGATATAGTTGCTTTCAATGCCTGTCAGTGCAGACTTACAAAAGGTCATTACAACCTGAGAAGGTGTTCCAAGAATCTTGGCCTTAAATATACTGAAGTTGCTGACCTTTAACAGTCAAGCAGAGTGAGCAACATTCATGTTTTGGTTTAAGCTTTGAACATGGTAACAAATGGATGTTTCTTCCTTGGGTTGCTTGGTTAGTCTTCATATGAATACTTCTTAAATATTGACTTTAGTAAAGGATGTACAAGATACACCTTAACATTTGTATCATATCCAAGGTGTGACCTTACAAGCAAGTTACCACTATACATTTTCTTGTATTTGGACTTGGAGAACAAAAAGCCTACTTAATTCTTCATCAAAGAGCAAACTAGAAGCTTACGTTTGGCCAAAATTAAACACTTAATCTTTATTTCCAGGTAACACTGATGACTAACATCATCATCTAAACAACTTGCCTTCCATCCCAAGATCTGAACAGATTTTTCCATGTTGTTAACAGAGACCTCTCTACATCTCAATGGGCTCATAACATACTTGAAAACAAGGTGGGAGGAAGGAAAGATCTGGCAGAGAAAAAAACACAGTAAGAAAAGAAAATATATACCTCCTTTTTTGCCCAGGCTCTTCCATGCTACTGTCCCACCTTTGGGACATCAGCAAGCTAAGTTCCATTTCTTCTTTCTCACACTGTGGCTCATTTTCTTCATCATCACTGTTCTGAGAATTTCGCCAGCTTCCAAGAGAACGATGGTGAGAGAGTGTTTTTTGATGTCCCATCTGATATCCATCATTCTCCAGTCCAGCCAACAGATCAATCATGGCCTCATCAGCACTACTGCCCACTGCAGAAAAAGCCCATACAAGTAGAATCTATATTTTGTTCTACTTGTAAATGACTAGTTACAGTCTACCAGCAAAAATCACAACCAACCAAACCAAACAAAAAAGCCCCTCACCATTTACAAATCTACTAGTTTTTTACTGTCTAAGGAAAGGCATGCTACAGAAATAAAGCTCATTTCATATCTTATTTTTTCAAATTTTATGACTTATCTTTTCTAGCTCTGTATCTAAAACTTGACAACTTTCTTTCTTTCTTTCTGCACTGCTCTTCTGATTGTCAGTGGATGCACTTTTCTCTCCACTCTTCTATTTCCTCCTCATATTCAGTAAAGCTTCACTCTCCCCTTTAATTTCAGCTTGAGTGCCAGTTTCTGAAGCATTACTGGCTTCTCTTGCTCAAGAGCTGCATTAGATTTCAGTACTTTTTTCTGTATCACTTGAGGACTTTCAGTCACTGTATCTTGTGAAAAGGGATGCTGACTATTCCTCCTTCTGTTCTTAAATATAATGCTCAACTTTGGCTCCCTTTTCATGTCACTACAAGCTGTTCTATTCCAAGGTTTCTCTAAACACTAGAAGTTTTCACTCCTGTCTTAAATTTCATATTTCTTTTATTTGACCCAAGCTTTTGTAATTTATGCACTTCCCTTTTTTTTTTTCCTTAAAAATCCTTCCAAGTCACAATTTTTTCTCACTCCCTTCCTACTTACCTATCATCTGACCTCATAACCAATTTATGACCTCCAGTCTACCACGCATCTCTGTTACTTCTCTCTCCTTGTCTGGTTGAAGAACTACAATCTCTAATTTCTTTCCTCTGGAATCCGCATGGTATTATTACAATGATCTTGAGAATTATACAAAACAGATCTCAACACTGGCAAAAACTGAATTTTTCATATTTTGCCAAGGCTTCGCAAGATACCATGCAACTCTTTACAATAGAAACCATCCCCTTTTTCCAGAATTTTTGAATTAACCCACTTCTAATTATACTTTCTGTTCTTGGCTCCTTTGCCCTTTGTGAGGCTCATAATTAAACTCCAACCTCTACTTCATGTTAATATGAACCTTGGGGTGTAATTCACACTGAACAGCAGAAGTCATGTGGTTCACAGTCCCTGTGGCACTACAACTCCACTAGAGGAACAGTGAACACTGGTGCAGGCTATGAGGGAGCATAAGAGACCCAAATATGCAGCATGCTACTCATAGTCACACAAGACACTAGGAATCAGCATGACAAGAAGGGAGGAGACAAAGAAAGAGAAAGAAAAAAGTAATATAATCTCAATTTGATTACCTAGTCAATGGAAAAAAAAGATCATTTCAACACTGCAATTTGGTCGAGCAGTTCTAATGTACAGTCATAAGGCATACCCTACGTATTATTTTAGCCACTTTTTATCCTCTCAGGATATCCTCAGGTCTGCTCATGTTTGCCACCTCCCACAGAATTTCTTACAGTTCTTTCAATAAATCCAAATCCTTGCCTATAAAACTTCTATGATCAAAATCTTGCCTATTCTCTGCAAAATAAAACTACACTCTTAATCTAACCTCATCTACTCCTCCTTTCTTAGCAAGAACAGATTTCAAGATTGTATATTGTATTACCACAGACATATACTGTTGCCTAAGCACATACTCATACCCTATAGGTATCCGAAGAAATAGAGGCTACTATGGGTTTTACATACTCCTCCCTGCCCCACACTATGTGTTTCAAATTAACATTACACATTATGTTTACCAAAGAACACACAAAGAGATATATCCTGAACTATGTGCTTTTCATCTCCTTTAGAGTATTTGAACTATTTCTACCTCATGTAGTTTTTCATACAAGTTCCTTTCTTGGTTATTTTATGGCTGTTTCCCCCTTGTGCCTTGCAATTTTACTGTCATGGTTTTTCTCCTCCTCTTTAAATATTTTACTTCTTGTTTCTTTGCCTTCAACCATTCTTTGTATCTAAAAATTCTGGGAAATGCTCTGCTGCAACTTGCATTATACCTACTATTGCCCAGTAGCTCCAGACAGCTGACCTTCTGAAGACAGATCACATGCATGTTTTCTACCTTAACTGTATGAGTCACATGGACAGACAGCCAAAATCATCTTCATTCTGATAATTTTAACCTTATAGCCCTAGAAGCATAAGGAAGAGCAATACTCACAAGAAACTGCACTGAACTGACCTGGCAACAGGACAGAGCTTTCTGAACCAGGGAAACACAGCAGACTCTACAAATACAGTCCTAGTGGCATTTCTTAGAAAACACAGGGTGTGTTTTGGTGATGGTAGGGTATGTGTCTGTGTGTGTGAAGTCTCATCCTTTTTGAAAAACTCCTTGAGGTAAATTACTTACTTTCTTTTGTGATGGGTAGCCTAAGGGAACACAAGACTGTGGAACAATAAAATAGTCTGGAAGAAAAGACATTCCAATCATACTCACTAAAAACTGTAGTCTGATTCAGTCTTTGAGACAAAGGCTGAAAGCTCTGACTGTTCTCCACAATGTTTAAAATTGCTTCCTCATTAATAAGTGCTTCGTCTTCTTTATCAGTATGCATCCTATTGGAGTCTTTAAAAGAAAAAAAGGATGAGAAAGCATAAAACTTCCAAGTCAGAGACATCAATACATTATGAAAGCAAGACACTTCAGAATGGATTTTACTATCCAAGTATATTTCCATTATTTGCTGTAGCAATTTTAGAAAGGCTTACTCTAACAATAACAAAAACCAAAACTATTCTTTGGTTTTTCATAACTAACAATCACAACTTCCTTGGCTTACTTCTGTTAACAGTATGAACAGCCAAACCATGACACAGATTTATGCCTAAACAATTAGTATATTAAAAAACTCACCTTTGCTCATCTGTTTATCATCATGCACTTCTACTGTATTAGCTGGTGTACACGGAAAGGCTTCAGGAGAAAGTACCTCAGAATGTAGTGTTAGCTCAGCAGAGAACTCCTCTGATCCATTACTGTAGTCCAATGATCCTGACAATGTTCTAGTTAATTGAAAAGCAAGTTTTAAATGCATATTTAAGGTTTGCATAGAATACTATATTTTATGACAAATGGCTAAACACTTACACAGAGAAGTCATTTTGCTTGAGAATTTCTTTAAGTCTCTTCTGAAAAAATTTTTCACTCTCTGTTGCTGGCACAAATCCACGGTCTTTAAAATTTGAAAAATATTTGTTATTCAGTTTTACTTTGACCTCTCAACACAGAGAGCAGCTAAAATTACTGATTTTATTAGAAAAAGGCTCAAAGTTGAAGTGCCTGCTAATTTTCAGTGCCAAATCCGAGGGCTGACTTTCCAAGTGTATCTAAAAAACTTTAAAATACTTCACATACTCCCAAGTGATCTCATTTGCAACTGTGAGTAACAACAGCATTTACAAATCATAATGCAATTACCCCAAGGTGAGCATCCAAGAAAAATCAGTGAACATTTTTGAGAAGTCTGGCTTATGCAGCCTCAATAACATTACACAGAAACACAGGAAAAAAGTTACCAGAAAGTAGTCTGCCTTAGCCAGGAACCTGCCTCTTTCCTTCTTTCAATGCTGTGTCTTACTTGCCAAATATCATTCATATTTTAAAAGAAATATGGCCTAGGTTCTATGGAGAATAGCCTGTTCACTATGCAATTACGTTGCAGAGCACAGTCTTCCCTGTGTAATGAATTTTACATAAAAACAGGGACAAAGACAGGAATTTGTCTATCTATTAGAATTTTAATCTAATATCACCTTGGCTATAATTCTGCAGAAATAAAATGGGACTGCCCTTGTGCATAAACTACAATAGAAAGCTTCAAGATAAAGAGATTTAGTTTTTTTGGTATTTAAATGTTTTCCATCACAAAGGATACAATCTTAACTACATTATCATTCATTCTGTCTAGAATGTTTTGCAGACAGCTGAATCATGTGTTGTTAGGCAAGGTTACATCATCTTACTTTCAAAACTGGAAAACACATACTGGACCATCAGTAAGCCTGGAAGTAAAAAAACTACATCTAAAAATCCCTCAGACATGATACACCAATTTAAATTCTGTCCTCTCGCTTGCTTCTCATTCAAAGAGTTGGATTAACAGCTGCTCAATTGTTTGGTTTTTTTTTTTACCTTGTGACTCAGGTGGCTTAATCTGAGAAGATTCACATTTCTGCCTCCGTCGCTGCTTTTCATCCTCCCATATAGCTTGCAAACCAGGGTTCCTGCCAATCTGGGCTGAAATATGCAATTATACATGAAGGGAAGTCTGCCAAAATGACAAAGCATTCTTTCCCCAAACTGGATTCTGACACTTTTCTTCATCTCTTTGTCATTCTAGCCTGTTATTTTTTAATTGCCATTCCTGCCTTACTCTAGGATTTGGTATTATGTAAAAGTTAAGGTGCAACTTTATTTGCTTTCTAGATCTTTGGCTTTTTATTGTCTTCCCACCAAGTAGTGTATATATGTATATATAGGTGTATGTACATACGTATGCATACATGCACACATGATGTTGGTATTTCCATTAGTATTTTTCCTATAGGTCTGAAACCATAATAGATATGCATTAAAAATATTTTTATATTGCTCTGATAAGACATTGTTTTTATAACCTCTTTTCTTTCAGAGTTAATTATTTTTCTTTAAACTTTAAAAATTTGGAGATCAACAATTCACTAACAGTGAAATATGGATTGCGATTTAACTAAGATGAGCTTTAAAAGAAGAGTGAATGATGACAACATGGTTTCTGTTCTAAAACCATTTAACATGGAAAGTTATTAACACTTCACCTTCAATATCCAGTTGATTCAAAATGTCAGCAGCTACTGCATCCACCTCCAATTCACAGGTACTTTGTGGCTCAACACCTTTCAACATTAAAGAGCTGTGATAACATAAATACCATAGATTAATTTTATCAGTATACTGCGTTTGAAACATGCATCATCACTGTTTCTTAACTGGACTATTATGTAAAACTATTTAGAGGAAACAGGAGTGACTAATTGAATACAGAATTATCAGTTCCCATTCTAACCTGAAATTCCTTAAACTAATGATCATATTCAAATCTAATTAGGTAAGAAATCTGTACCTTCAACTTCAAGGGTTTAGCTTTTTCTTTTGTGAGGAGAAGAGAAAGAGCTGGCAGATAATTCCAATTACTAAAGCTACTAAAGTAATTGCAATAATGTTCTTCCTCTCAAATACAAGATGAAATGTTCTATATAACTCAGCAAACAGGACCAGGTGTGTAGGCAGGATCATGCACCCAGAAAACAGTGGCAAGAACTTTTCTTATTCACAGTTCAGAACAATGCAGAGCACTTTAACATTTACATTTATTTTTTTCTGGAGTTGTTTCTTTATTTAGCCTGGTGAATAAGAAAGGGAGTATTAACAAACCAAACACATGCTGAACTAAGGATAGCTGGTTTGATGAATACTTGAAATGAAAGACTAGAAACAGAGTCAAGATTGCTGTACAATTATCTGATCACCTTCCTGCTGTGCCTTTTCATATCTGCAACTGTCAGTGTCCTTTCACCTGTTGCTGTCAGTGAACAAATTTTAAGCAGTCCATGGAGGAAGGTAACAAACAGAAATAATCTTTTAAAAGTCTGCTTACCCTTTAAAATCTCTTTTAGGGTAACACTGAAAATCCACTCCAAACTCTTCAACTTTCTAGTAGGGCTTATAGCAATAGGATAAGAAGTAATGGTTTTTAACTGAAAGAGGGTAAATTTAGACTAGACGTAAGGAAGATTTTGTTTTATGATGAGGGTGATGAAATGCTGGAACAGGCTGTCAAAAGAGGAGGGAGAAGTCCCATCTATGGAAACACTTAATGTCAGGTTACAGGGCTCTAAGAAACCTAATGTAGTTGAAGCTGTTCCTGTTCATAGCAGGAAGGCTGGACTAGATGACATTTAAAGGTCTCTTTGAACCCAAACTATTTTATGATTCTCTGCACACTTTTAAAGACAATCCGCTGCCATCATGTCCCTCTGTTCCCAGTCATGCCATCAGCTAGGAAACAAGCCCACAATATGCTCAAAATGCATACTTTTCATGTCACACACTTTGGGTGTTCACTCGTCAAAGGATTCAAGCAGAGCTCTGCCTGCACAGTGGGCAACAGGAACTGCAGGCAAGCTGAAACTTGTATTTTGATCCCACAGTAACAAACTGTGCAAGAGCACCGGGAAACAAGACTGAGGGAAGAAGCTGCAAGAATTGTTAGCTCCCTTTACAAAATCAAACCACTTCTGGGAACAAGCAAAAAGGACCATGATACAGAATGGTCAGTGACATCAGAAATGTGGTAAAGACTTGCCTTGACTTGTCTGGAGGATACAAAATCTAAGATCTGAGCTTCCCACTTTCACTGATTTCCGCTTTTAAAAGACAATAAAAAGACCCAAAAACTAATGGGGGTTGGAGAGAAAGATTAGGAGCCTTTCTGACAAAAACTACAGTTATTTCAATTTACATGGCATATTATTCAAATTAAAAACACTGAGATAATAACAAGCATTTTCTGAAACAAATCAAGGATTTATCATTATAGTTGTCATTAACACTTCCATGATGAAAGCAGGGCTGGCAGTCAAAACTGCACACTCCAAAGAGTTATGTGGAAGCTAACAAAGACACCTGATACACAGTACACTCTGTGTATCAGGTGTCTTTAGACTTTAGAGAATGTCTTCCCAATACCACTGGTTCATTAGCTTGGCATTTAACATCCTTGTCAAGGTGAGCTGCTAGACACTTGCACAAGTTGAAGTCATGGCAGTAGCACTACAAGCTTCTGCGACATTCAGGTAAGCCACAAAGGCCTAGAAATCATTTGTTCCCAGTTCAGGAAAACCCTTGAAGGGCATATGAAAGCAGAGCTGCTTTAACTGGTCCTTCTAACATTTTAATTTATGTTGATTAAAACAAAACCCTTGAGGTGCTGAGGGAGTACAAACTGCCCTGAAGTACCGAATTTGACATGGTTACATGCTGCTTTGGGAACTGTTTCATCTGAGTATTGGCAATAGCTTGGTCAGCTGTTCTGTTTGGTCACCTAAAACAAATGTGTGCAACATATTGGGAAAATACACAAAGTAACCATATTTCCCATTTTCCCCCACTCAAGACACATTTTCTCAGCAGCTACAGTGCTGTTTTAGCAGGTGAGAAGACAGCATGAAGAAGACAGAACATGTCTAGTCTCCTCCCAGAGGAAGTTGATTGAAAATATGAACTAGTTCATGTCATTAGCAGTTGTAATGCCTCGGAATATATATTCAGAAGTGGCCTGTTCAGTACAGATCACTTTATACAACAGACTAACCACCTGCCTTACATGGCATGCATCGGTTTTGCAAAGAAAAATAGTGGTTTAGGTAATGCCCAAATCATGATTTGAGAATATCTATTTTAGAACAAGGTTGGAAAAGACGAATTAGCAAGTCCCAGGTAAAGCCTTCCACAGCATCTATGTTTCATTCTGTAAGAAGGAACGTAAAAGAGACTTGCTCACAAGATAAAACTTGTAATATATGTATATGAAAAACAGGCTTGAGTGAGGTAGTGTAGAAGGAACCCAGCTGCAGGAGAAGGCTGGGATGCTTGGGATACTGATCCTAGTTAATTTTAAATTGCATTTTATATCTACACACTAGGTGAAAAACTGCAATACAAATAATTTTACTTTGTATAAAAAGCTCCAAATACATTATTTTGAGAACAGAGAAAATGGTCCTTATTTTTGAAGAATATAACAGTTTGTTCACACTATCTACTGAGATAAAAACTATAGTTTAGGATGAAACTTGTGCTCAAAGGAACTACCAAGGTTTGGTTTCTCAGACGTTGAGACAATGAATTAAGGCTACAGTCAACAATTTTTTAAAAGTGCTCACTACAAACATCTAGGTAGATCAAAGCCCTTAAGAACCTTGAAGAATAATCAATAAGGTCAGTATCTTAATTCACCAATTAATTTAATTACAGCCTTAAGAAACAAGTTTTGTAATGATCCCATCTAAGTTATTTGTAACATTAAACTGAGCACAAGAGACAAAAACTAACTTCATGAAGTATCTGAAAGGTGTTACTCAACTGTGCTGAAAAGGACTCTAAAATTTCACATCATAATTTTCCATGCTCTGCTCATGGCAGAAAACATGTCCTTGTTTTCAGGATGTTGAAGTGACTTAAATAATGTGCACATTATATTAAAAAATCTAACAGCTAAATAAAAACATGCACAGACTGACAAGCGAGAAAAGCAATTATGACAGTCACAAGCCTAGCAAAAATCTGCAATATTACATATCTGCTAGACTGTGCAGAAGTGTTATTTGTCAGATCTCTCCACTTCCATATAAACTAGTGTCTAATAGCAAATCTAGGATTTAAAAAAATTAAGTGTCTCTCAAAAGCATTCTACCAATCATTCTGCTTTTAACACATCATGTCCAAGTGGCAGACTTGACTGGCAGATACTCTAAGTCTGATGTTTACCAGAAAAGTTTTCTCAACGGAACTCACAGAAGTGTTCCATCATTTATTATCAGCTGCCTGAATGGGATAACAAAATGTGTCTCATGTCCAGAACTCCTGATGTCAAAAACTGTTGGACAGCACTACCAAGTTCAGGTGACTGCTGCCCATTTTAGGGTAGGCTTTGTAGGTTTCAGTGCAATAACACTGCCAAGTATTATACCTAAAAGCCTTACAGGGACTCCTGGGCACTCGAAATTTTAGGCATTTGTCTACTTGATAACAGAATCATTCTAGAATTACATTTTAAAAAATGTCTCTGACTTAGTGCACTTATAGCAGTGAATCAGTAATTTGGAGATTTGCCTGGAGCAAGACAGGACGTGGCTGGGCTGAATGCTGTTCTTGGTAAGTGGCTGGGTAGCAAGGTGCTCTCTAGCATGAAAGAGGGAGTTCAGTCATCAAGATAATTTGACATAGTTCTCAAATGTTTTTTGAAATAAGGAACCATCACTAGTATTTACTCAGCAAAATGCTGCTTATGTTATACATCTGACTTTTAAATTTTGCATATTACCTTCCAGGTATGCAGAATTGTATTTCAGCCAAGTGATATACTGTGTTCCAAAGTCAAGAAATGCCAAATCACTGTCCCTGCTTGCTTAAACAAGAGAACTTGTTAACTGCCACTTACAGCAAGGACTTGGCAGATACATGTTGGACTGTTCCTAAAATGTATTCTTAATGTACACAAAGGATAATGAGTCCAAACAGACATCCCAGTCACTAAGAATACAAGACAGGCCTAGAAATTTTGTGGTCTCAAACAACATTTGACTGTCTTTTCCCCTTTTGTTTTTTCTTGACAGAACAAGTAATAACTTAAGCATACAGCTGAAAGGTAGAGAAAGATTTATGCAATCTTCATATCTGATAATAAAGGACCAGGAAAGAAATTTAGAAGTTCAGTGATATTTAGAATAAACTCCAAATGCTACTGAAAATAGCAGTCAAGTGGTAAAATTACAGTAAGTAAAAAAAATTTTGCTAAACAATTCACAAAAGAGTTAAACATCTGAACTTGAACTGGATAGAACTTGAAGAGGACTAGATAATAAAGTGAGGGGACTGTGCAGTATTGCACATGAAACTAAAAATGAATACAGCTGTTGATATGTAAGTATGTTGGGAATACAGAAGATACTTTGTTAAGAAAAAAGAAAGGAAGAAAGGCAGCTTTACAGCTATTGAGTAATGCTGTAGCCTGGAAAAATAGAAACAGTTGAGTCACAATCATTTCAGGAAACAATTAAAAAAGTTTCCTTGGATAGGTATCTCATACTGTCTGGGTCAGATTTATCCTCAGTAAGGCTGATCATGACAATTATAGATCCATTAAACCAACCTAGAAGCAAATTTTCAGAATTTGAAAGGAAATGGAAGTAGGAAGGCAACATGAAAGTGGCACTGCAGTATGGGTTTGATTACAGGAACACTGTTTTAACTTGATGACTCCCATAAATAATCCAGGAGAAATTTTAACAGGCAAATAATTTTGTGTAGATACAGAACAGAGTAAAATCAGGAATGGAAAAGTTTAGATTTGTTGCTTTGCTATGGCATGTATGTCCTACAGCATGGGGAAGACAGTCATGCCAGAACACCCTTAATAAAAAAATTAATTTTCTAGACAAAAGAACGTTTAACACAGTATCAAATGTAAACAATTTCAGTTGCAGGAATCATAAATGAGTTCCTAATTTATGAAAGCATTTTAAGAGCTAACTAAATGTGAAATTCCTCTTGGTTATATAAAAAGGACAGAGCGTTGATACAAAATATGTAGAACTGAGTATAGACCAGTTTCTGTGACTGAGGTTACTACTTCACATCTCACTAATACAGCAGGGTAGTAATGAAATATCCTGATAAGGCAAGCCAGTAGATACGTTGGATACATAACCAGATCATAGTATCAGAAAACAAAAGCAGGGTAACTGAAAAGTAGAATAATAGAAACAGGATGAGAAGAGAAACGTTTTGTACTAATAAATCCTAAAATGCACACAAGCCAAATTGGCATGACAAATGAAACTGTAAAGTGTATTGGGAACTACCATTATCATGGCACATGGTGTACAGAGAATTTATGTGGCATATGTAGTATTCAGGCTTTATGTTCAAGAAATAAATTCCTGATGGTAGAAGTACAGCAAACAAATACCAGGGAAATGGACAGCCTTGCTATTTTCTCCATCATTGTTAATGTCCCACTTCTGGAACACATGTGAGTGCTGAAGAAAGACTGGCATGAGTGAGGTGCTGCACCCCTGGCTCTATACATGGAAGCATGGAAGGAGAAGGAAAGAAGACTTGTGGTTAGAGCCATGAGGAGGCATCCTTGGCTCCGCTCTGCTGAGCTCATCCTTCTCTGGTGCTGACAAGCCAGGAGGTACTACTCTGTTTTCTGTTTATCTGCCTTCCCCAGATCTGTGTAAAGTAACATCAGATAATCCTGGCCTAACTTATGATCCAACATTTAATTTTTAAGGAAAGCTTGCAGAACCAAGCATAAAAAAAGTTGAAATGGACTGTGAATGAAATATGCAGCCAAAAAGAAGAAACAGCCCAAGAACAACTGCACACAAAGTGACCAGAAGTCAGATGAATGCTGTTGCAAAATTCCCTTGAAGTAGTTAAAGAATCAGAAAACCAGATGTAATCAACACAAGCTCATGTTTTTGCATGCTAGATAAACCTAAAGTATGGCTTAATACACACATTTTCTACTGGGGAAGCAAATTTTCCCAGTACATAACACTAGCAGGAAGTGTGGCATATTGACCCCAATAAGCTCTTCAGAGAAGAATGACAGGATCCACCCAAAGGCTGAGAAGATTATTAGATGACAGAAGCACCTGCCAATCATTAGCAAATAGCTTAAAGAATAAACTTGCTGTAGATAAACTATATAAATCAGGAGCTTCTTATCAGTAGCTTCAGGTACTGCGAGTTTCTCTACCCTCCCCAACTCTGGCCACAATATACCCAAAATTTCAAAAATATTTCATTTTCTTACAGAAGTAAAAGGATTACAGATTACAAATTGTAGAGCAGAAATCCCTAGGAAAAAGGAAAAGCATGGGAGACAGAGATGAAAATTCTAAGCTGAGTTTCTTATGTAGCTACCATTTCAAATGGACAAACTGAAATTCTCTGATAACACACTATTCATAGAATCAGAGTCACTGAGGTTGGAGAAGTCCTCTACGATCATCAAGTCCAACTATTAATCTAACAGTGCTAAATCATGTCTCCCAAGCACCACTTCCATGTATTTTTTTAACACTTCCAGGAGATTCCACCACTTCCTGGGCAGTCTATTCCAATACTTGACCACCCCTTCAGTGAAGTAACTAATATTCAGTCTAAACCTCCCCTGGTACTTTTATTGTTTACTATTTTAATTATTGTAAATTAATGTAAATAATAACAATAATAATTATTATAATTATTGTTGTTGTCATTATTATTTATTACTCCCCTTTCATCAGGCCATTTTATTTTGTCCTCCCACTGGTTACCTGGGAGAAAAGACTGACCCTCACCTGGCTAAAACCTCCTTTCAAGCAGTCAGAGAGAACAATAAAGTCAGCCCTGAGCCTCCTTTCCTCCAGGCTAAACGCCCCAGCTCCCTCAGCTGCTCCTCACAGGACTTGTGCTCCAGACCCTTCCCCAGCCTCACTGCCCTTCTCTGGACTCGCTCCAGCCCCTCAATGTCCTTCTTGAACTGAGGGGCCCAAAACCAAACTGAGATTCGAGATGTGGCCTCACCAGTGAGGTCACATTAGTTAAGGATGATTACAAAAATACAGTCTGTGAACTGATGTGTAAATAATCTCTGTAACTATTAAGCTTGCTTAACTCTTCATCAAAGTCAGCATTCCAAAACCCAGAAAGTAGAATTTTGCCCATTATTTCCCAACTGGATTTTTAGAACCATAAACCACAAAGCATCGGGTGACCAAGACTATACAGAGAAACTAAATAATGATAATTTGTGTCACATAATCACTTTTTTTTTTTAACATGTAATACATGTAAGGGTCCTTTAAATGAGAGACTGGAACTCTATAACATGCATGTTAATGTACACAGGAACACACAGCACACAACAGGAAAACCTGGGATGCTGACCTTGGTATTTCATCTTCTTCCCATTCAGTGAAAGATATGTTGCTTGAATTTTCTGGCAAATGAGTTCTATGATGTTTACTTACACCTGATGTGTCACCTAGAGCAAAAGTAGAATGAGAAATTAATTAATTTATGTGGCAGTATTTTTTACAAATATCATTATATAAGGGCATTTACTATTTAATATTACCAGTCCACCTGCTCCTAAAGGATTAATAGCACTGCATGGTATCATCTTCGCCCATTAACTATGCTATCATATAAATTACCTAATTTTCTTTCTAACATATAGACATGTTTATACAAAAAAGAAAAATACACTTCCAACACACTGACACTATTTGAACGGCATTTGTTACATTCCAATCATATTTTAGCCTGAATTCAATCTTCTCTTATTTGTTAAAATTTCAAAATAAATCATACAGTCTGATGTAAACTTCAGAATTTCCTGGGTCCACAGTTCAAATGCCAATGGAAATTAGAAGCCAAAGAAAACACTACTTCACACTTTTCCTTTTTCTTATTTGTCAGTGGGATATACAACACATTCCAGATACAATGGTAGTAGCAGTGAATGGAAACCTGCAATGAAGGCAGATGTTGTCTGACCTACAAATAAAGAAAACACTCTAAGTTTGCTCAGAGGTCTCCAGGTAAGGAAGTGTGCTCCAAAGTCATGCTGGTGAAGTCCTCTCTGAAGAATTCCTACCTCCCTTGAGGTCTCCACCTCATTTTTCAGAGAAAGGGAAAACAATATACACAGGATATGGCACAAGAAAGAAAGTCCCAGGCTCCAGGAATGGAGCTGGAGGGAGGTAGAATGGGAGAAGACTGAAAATTACACAGTCTCCCACTTCTACCTGAAAGACCAGACTGAACCTTGAATTTTCTCAGCCATGTTGGTGTCACGCACTAGCAGTTTTCTGGTATTAAATTTACCTTTCAGCCATAGCAAACACTCCTGTATTTGTTCAAGTTACACTAATTAACTTAATTGTCAGAAGTCTTCAGTACTTAAAAGTTTACTACAACATGTATTTTTGTTCTACAAATTTTGCAATAGTCTTGTCCATGTAAATTCCATTACTTGGAATATTAGGTTTAGGGATACCTCATGTAACAAAACCCCCTAAGTTACTACAGAACTAATTGGCAGGCACCATGCCATGCCAAAAGAACCTCAGAAGCCACAAACAGAAGCAAGCAGGCTTAATTCCATATGTTCCAGACCAAGCTTACTGCACACAGACTAGGTTCCTGCAAACCCTGCCCCTGCTTCACACTCCAAAGTGTACAGGCATGGCACAAAGATGTGGCACTCAAGTGGGGTGAAAAGCCACTCCTGTGCTCATGCAGAGCCAGCTCACGTTTCAGCCACACCTGTGCTGGAATGGTCCACGCACTGCGATGCCTAAGCAGGTGATTCTGGAAAGACAACACAAAATATTTGATCCTATTTGCACAGATCCAGCTCAAACCTAGCACACCTTACTGTCTGGGCTGCTCAAAAGTGATGACTTGTCCTGGCCAGCTTGTCCAGGAAGAAACACAGCCATGTTTTTACTGTGTGGCACATCAGCTAATTCTCCATATTAAAATGTAAGCTGACTATGCATGGAAACAACTCTCATTTTTCATTTACAACTTGATTATTTTAAGTTGATGAAATGGGACTGAATAGTTGTATATTTTAACAGAAAATACATCTCACAGCAGCTATGCCAGATTAGGACAACTAGTAAAATATATACAATTATTTTTTAAAATTATATGCATTTCAAATACTACACCACAGCAATTTCAGTGCATTATTCCCTACCACTGCTGTTTTCACGTATTTCTAATAACTGAGGCTCAAATTCCTGTATTAGCTTGTTTCTTCAGTAAAGTTAATCACAGGAATAGGAATTTAAGGACACTCAATATTCCCCTTCTCTTGATATAAAGATCTTTAAAGACAGCAGCAATGGCACATCAAGGTCTTAGAGAGTCATATTACAGAAGCAGATTCAGCTACTCAAAATAAAAGTTTTGCAACAGTTACAGTGGCATGTGGTGCATGAATGAACAGGCAGCCTTCTTCACAGCCCATAAAGACAAGAAGTTGAGGAAATGAACTGCTGCACCTTCTGGATACAAGCTGATGAAGGCAGAATATTCTTGCTACAAGAAATCTGCATGTTGACCTCTCTCAGCCTTCAAAAAGAACGACTTATCTCAGTGAGAAAAATACCACTATGAACAGGCTCCTGAGGCTGCTTGCTTACACTGACAAACATGTTAATTGCCAGACTCATTTTTGTATCATCTGCAAGGGAAGTAAGGTAAGTGTTTGCTGCACATCTTTTGGCAAAGGCTTTTACTGCTGTCTAAGAAACAATGTTTGGTCTGGCCTGTGTGACTCAGCTGTACCTGACTGAAAGGAAACTCCCCCAACACAGAGGCTGAGGAACAGACAGGTAAAGTGTGCCAGGTGCAAGCAGAGGCTGTGCTTCTACACCACTCCAACAGCCTGAGCTCAGACAGGGCTGCTGTACAAGGACAGGCTCTTCACAGCAGTGCCTCTGTAAGGCTGCACCAGGGACAAACCATTTGCTGCTTGGCTGCTGTGCCAGGAGCAATAGACAGTGATCCTGTGCCAGGGGACTCCAACAGACTGAGGCAGGCCACTGGTGCATGTGTGATGGGGAGCCTGCAAAGCAGAATGAATGTTCCTAGGAGCACTGCAGCCAGTATCTGATCAAGCCAGACAAGGTAGTGTCATTTTTTTCCTTTTATTTTATTGGATTCTTCCCCTATAAGAATAGTTAAAATCCACTGGTCTCAGCCCACACTCCTCTTCCATTCCCTTGTTCCCATTCAAGACTTAGGTCTCTCATCCTTAAATAAATCATGAAGGAGAATATAAACAGCTTATGTTTTTCATCTATCATCTGAAAGAGGGGGAAAAAAAGAGCTATGGCACAATCACATGTCACGTTTCCAGAGGCTGATCTGAATATCTGGAAGACTAAAGGTACCTGACTGTATTTCCTCAGGAATGAAGATCCTGAAGATGCTCTGTCCATGGCAGAGCTTTTGCCTTCCTACAGTTCTGACACCAGGAAAAAATGTGGTCTATTTTTGGGGGCGAAAAGAGTATTTTCCTTTAAACAAGAGTTAGTTATAAAACTCCATGGGCTAATAGATTGCTATCTGAACATACATACAAAAAAATAAGGAGGAAATTCAGCACGATTTTTGCTCTGCCTTTTTACAGAAAGACATTTCACCATTCCTTTCAACTTTTGCTTTAGCTGTAGTAACAATTATGATTTAAGTAAACAATACTTATTTTACTAAACACTACATACCAAAGGCATACTTTTCCTACTGTTATCTCCCCTTTATAATGAAGAATTTAGAAGAATTAGGGATGTTTTCACCAAACTTAATTTTTATGTCAGTGGTATATCTGAAACGCCAAATTAATTTCTTAAAATGCTTCCTTTGCTCACAAACTAATAATTCAAATTTTACCTTAGAGGAAATGACTTCAGCACAAACAGAAGCATTTTAATTAAGAACATTGACTGTCATCAGAGCAAAATCATTAGCCATAATTTTGTGAAGACACTACTGCAACAAAAAAAAAGAATTTGAACTGATGTAAGAATCAAAACCATAAAAAAAGTAAGCAACAGTATTATTATGCTATCTTTCATGTCAATTCTTCAACTAAATATCAACAATTTTTCATCTTCTAGAAAAGAGGTGTGGTCATCTTGTGAAATGGTCACAGCTGCACTGCTGACAGAACACAGGTTTCTTGGTACACAGCATCTCATTTTGGGAAGCAGGCTCTTCCTCAATCCCCACACAGAGGCATAAAAAGCAAAAAAGCTACATATGGACTTTGTTTTGACACAGAAAGCAAACTTCAGGGAAACAACACAATACTCATTCAGCCAAAATAAAGCAAAAGCTTGACAGCTAGTGACATCTTGTACAAAATGGTAGTTTTTAGCCTTCAAAACAACTATTTGGTCTTAAGAAATAAACACCTTACCTTTTCTCCTTGCTTTTCTGAATTTGACAGCAGCCAGGTTTATTAAATTCATTCCATATAAATTGTAGTCTATAAAGAGTTGGAGGAGGTAGGGAATATGGGCTTCATGAGGCTGGTAAGATTTGTTCATTATGGCTCCACCTTGCAGAAGCTCACAAACTCTAAAAGACAAATTAGGACATAAATAAAAAATTATTTCAGCACAACAATATTGACATTTGACTTTATCAAAATATAGAATACTTATTGACATTTGCCTTATTTTTTTAACTTAATAACTGTATTTTTAACTTAAGAACCGTGTTTTCACAGATGAACAAAAATGATCTCTGTAAATAATGATACAATATTTGTGTGTTAGTTGCAAAGGAGATTTTAATCTTTCAGCTAAAAAACCATGAAACTCTCTGAAAAAAAATCCTACAATATTCTATTCCTGCAAGTGATTCAAAAGCCACTATAGGCCATGGAAATCTTTCTAGAGAACTGTGACAGCTGTATGACTACCCAGCAGTAATAAGTTTGAAAGTCTCTCTAATTCTCCTTGACATATACATGATATAATGATATATATGTCCTTCATGGCTTTCAAGCTACATACTGTACAATCAGAAGCAGTATTTTAAAACTCTGCAGAAGGACAAAGCCTCTCTTTTAAACAGCTACACATTAAAAAATAATTGCAAGTATTTGGAGACTATAAACTGGTACAATAAGTTTATCTCAAATTAACAGTATATAACAAAGAATAGCATTAAGCATTTCTAAATGCAACAAACTGGGATTAAAAATAAAGTTTTATACTGAAAAAAAGAAAGGAATAATTTAAGTGAAATGTCAGTCCTTATTTGGATAGGAGCAATTCAAACATGAGAAACTTCAAATTTTGAAACAACTGTCCTGTCATCCATTAATACAAAAATTTTATCATGCAAAATTTCACCTGCCTAGAAGAAAAATCAGACAATCCTGTCTTATGATTATGTATTAGACCTTTAAAAAAATGTTACAGTATGTAACAGCACACTGTAACAGTATGCAATCAAGATATTTCAGTTTATGCTTGGGAAATAATTCCTCCTTATTTATTCCTGAATTTACTGCAGCTACTCTGACAGTAAGATTGAAATCAACAGCACTTTCATACAGCAGAACCTTATTCTATTGAGAAATAGGGAACCTGTCTAATGACAAAAGCTATTCAGTTTTCCAAGTAAATCTTAAATTTAGTAGTTTTTACTGGAATTAAAACCTACGAAAATTTACTTCGTAACAGATGAAATGAAGCCGTATCAAAGACAGCTACATTATTTTCCTTAAGAGTTACAGGAAAAGTAAGCTGATGCAAATTTGTTCAAATGTTCACAAGTTACAGTAATCACAGAACAACTAAAGGCAAGTATGTTTTGGTATTGCTTTCCTAACATTCTACTGCTTTAAAAGATTATTGGTGTGTTTAAAATTGGTAAATTTTAAAGTGTTTTGAACACCATGAGACAATAATTTTGGAGATTTTGTTAAGTTCCTGGTGAATCTTGCTTCAAACCGGACTTTTAAATTCAAGATATAAGGAAATCAGACAGAACTTTGTACTTCCACATCCTTACCTTTTTACCATTGCAGGATTGTAAAGATAAATCTTCATAAACTGTCTCTCCTTTTCATGGTAACCATAAAAAGGCCTGAAGAGAAAGGAATAAAAGCTAAAAACTAGCCAGTTATGCTGTGGCATTTATTCAATGACATTTTAGTATAAGGACTGTTAAATAAGTATGTCTATCTACCCAGGTGAAGATGAAAATGTATTTAATTTAGCTCTTTCCCATTAGCCTCGTATGCAAGCAAACAAAACACCTGAAACACTCTTATGCTGCTTTGAAGCAATGAGCAGCTGACTTTCAGTAATGACTGTTCTGAAATTCTAAGGCAAGAGAGGTGAAAAAGAGGCAGGTTCTCCTAATTTATACCTATTCTTTTCTCACTTTCAAGCAAAGATTTTCATCAACAGTTTACTCTGCCCAGCTTTCACTATGGAGATGAACAGCTATACTACAATTTATATAGTTCTCACAAAAAGAACAATATCAAGAAATTTGGTAGGTGACCTTCTTTGTTACTGTAAAAACATCAGAAAGCTCTGACTGAAAATAAAAACAAGTTATTGCAGCCACTTTATTCACAATATCTAGAAGCCACGAAAACTGGCTGGGAACAGAAATATTATCTGTCTACGCTTAAACAATTAGAAAGAATGTATTTCAGAAATGCATGAAAAAAGCAAATAAAACCTAGTGTTGCACAACATTGAAAATTAGCACTTACATTGTTTTGAAGATGAAAAACTGAATGCATGTATCTCGATTACCAGATTATCCAGGATATTTTCCTATTACTCATTATGATTTGGCTTACTTTTTAACCCTTGGTTATTCAAATTAAATAAATATTAACTAAATAATCCTTAAAATGCTAACATTCAATACAGAAAGCTACATCAAATAAAACACAATGGTCATCTTGACAGATTAGTAAATGTAAGTTTAAGAGCCTCTACTTCCAGGCCTGTGCTGCTGTAAGAATCAGACACATAAACATGACTTGAGAGTCTCTGTGAGGGCAATTTTACATGAACCAAAAAAAAAAAAAAAAAAAAAAGAGAAAAAGAACACCCAGAATGAGGCTCCGAGAAGACATGCCTGATCTCAGGGAACCTAGAATAATCCAGAGAGGTACAAAAAGCTGCATGGAAAGTACAGCTCTGACAGCAGAGACAGAAAAAGCCAAGGAGAACAGATTTTGCAAAATTATAGACACATAGATACAATTTATGAAAATATGGTTGTGTCAAGAAAGTTTTTTGGAAAACCTGTTAATTATGTTAAGGTCAAAGCAAGTGAGAAGAGTAATTTAGAAGTTGTACAGCCCTGTATGAAGACATACATGGGCAGGGAATGAAAAAGGATTAGCACTGCAATCACCCAAGTCCAAGTGTTTCTATATAGTTCCAACTGCAAAAAACTATTCAAAAACAACCAAAACTCCTGTCAGGTCATACTTACATTCCAGACACTAATGATACTTTGAAAACATGTTGAACACTAGAAGATGGGTTGCCTAAAGCCACATTGAGTGCTCTGTCAATGCTGAACGCCACTTGACGAAGGTAGCATTCTGGGTGCTGTCCAAAACCATCGTATGGTACATAGAGGTAAGGAAAGATACCATGTAAGTGGAGACAAGTCTTCTGACCTAAAAATAAAAGGTAAACATTTATTTTCTAATGTCTACTTTTTCTTTTTCTAAGTAGTTGCTACATTTTTTCATATTACTTTCAGGTTCTTCAGACAGGACAAATTTATGGTGCAAGTGCAGGTGTGTTTCAAACAAAAGATACTAACGTAGAGCAGCTCTCACACTTGATTCATTGACAAAACCAAAACAGAACAGATGTGCTTATGTGACATATCCATGATTACACCTGTGTAACAACAGAATTCACTACTAATTATTTTCTTTATAGAAATAACACATCTCTCTAAGAATAACTTTGCATACTGAATAAACGTTGGATGCTTAACAGTTTCTCAGATTTTGTGAAGTTCTCAGTAGCAATCACACAATCTCTCAGAAATTAAAAAGAACATCCAGAGCACCTATGAGGCCATTCAGTATTCTGGTTATTAGGGCCTAAGTTGGGATGTGGAAAAAATACCAGGCAACTTTCAACTTCTAAAATCTGTAGATCCCTCGGAGATTTCTACTGCATCTGCAAATCTCTAGATAACACACTTCTTAGCATTAGCTTCCCTGAGTCTGCAGCAAGAGCAGAGTGAAAGGACCATGAAAATATTTGTGCTAGATCACAGTTTGAACTTCTCACTCACACAAGGCAGTACAGCAATATGGACTGGGACCTCCCAAACCCACCACATTTTTGAGGGGGGTAGTCTCAACTACAATGCATGTTATCTGCTCTTTCCTCACCACAATGCAACAAAGCATGCATTTGGTGGCATCCACCTGCCACCTTTTCAGCCCCCAAAATCATTCATGACTTCTCACTGGCCAATGAAAAACTTTCACAGGAAAATACTGTAAGCATGTGTTGCTGATTAACAACCACCACCACAATGACAGGCAGCACATATCCCTTTGCATTTTGTTTGGATGAACTCCCTCCATGAGGACAGCAAAACTGGCTGTGCTTTCATCACCCAGGAGATGAATGCTACAAAAAGGGAACACAACTTCACTGGTCCACGAGACCAATGAACAGACTTCCAAAAGTCCACTCTTTCAAACTGAGGTTATTTCTCAGCTGGTGGAGCTTGCCTGAAGTTGGCACCCAGTGAAGACAGCTTATGTCCATTAAAGAGCAGCAACACCAAGACCTTCAGACTGAGGATACGTACAAATCTGTGAAAAGCATGCCCAAGAACCCCACTAACAGCACATTTTTTTTTGCCTTTTTTTTTTAAACTGGGGTCAGATGTATTGTTCTTCAATTCTGTTTAGAAGTAAAGTAATTGCTCAAAAAAATGGTACTACAAGTCCATTTTCCAAGGTAAATTTTATTCTTCTTGCAAGTCAACTCCATCAGGTCTCCTCATTCACACTGAAATACAATATGCATTCACAATGCTTAAGTCATCATCTATGAATTCTGCCTATATCTTTAAAATATTTCAGAATAAAATTCTTATTTATGTACCACGTTTTTCAAACAATAACTCATTAAGGGGAAACTAAAGAAACTAAGAACTATGGGTTTGAGGTTTTTTTAAAAAACAAAAATAAAGGAAAGTAAAAACTTTATATGGCAGGTAACTTCTTCACCTCTAAGGTGGAAAAAGTTACATAATAATAGTAGCATGTGAACTGAGAGGATTGATTTGTGCAGTGGTAGAAAACTATTTTCTATACCAAGTCACCAACAAATCTGAGTGTATACTGATGGCTGTACTTACGATTGATTTTGCAATAAAGGAGTCCACCATCCAAATATAATTATCAGAAAATTAATAGTTGTTTAAAGTCCTACAGTTTCTCTATTCAAGTTTGGTTGGCTGGGTTTGGGAAGGATTTGTGTTTGGTTTTCTATATTATTTTTGTTGCTAAGCTGGAAACAGTGGGCTGTTGTTGGTTTTTCTAAAATGTATCCCAGGATCATGTTCAGGGGGAAATTCAAACTAGCTCATAAAGTAATTTCTCTGAATGCTTGCTGCAGCTTAAAAAACAAGTGGACAAACCAACTCACCTCAAGCTAAATTTGATATTGGAATACAGACTGAATTTCTGTATACACAGATATACATTACTATCCCCTTATGAATTTCATAAATTCAGGTGTTTGCTTCCTAGACCGTGTCAGTCAGAATCAGTTCTGCACTTATATTTTTTATTTGTACTACTAGCTAGGGACTCCTTTCAAAAGCATGAATTTTTTCATATTTAAAAAATTATCTTGGCTTTAATGGTTGTCCAAGTACTCTGAACTGGAGTTAATTTATGATCCCTTAGTTTTATGTCATAATTTATGACAAAATTGCAAAGCACCAGAATAAACAGAACAGTGACAATCTAAACTTCCTGTACTTAAATTCGGGTTCCTTTCAAGTTAAGTAGTTTTTTAACAGTTCTTGCTGAACTGAAAATGTAGTTATACTGTTGCATAAAAAAGAGAACACATACAAAGAAAGTTTCCCTCTATTTCCTTTTGTTCCCTTCCCCTGTACTCCCCTTTATATGCAAAAAACCCCATGAAAAACATTATAGCTTTCGATTGAGCAGAGTCAAATTACCACTGAACTCCAGGGAAATCCTATAGAACACATACCCTGAGATGCTTTTCATTTTTGATTCTGCCAGGAAGGCAAACAAGTTACTGCTGAGCTAAGACTCCTATTAGGCTAACAGCTGTCAAGTTACATGGGTTTACACAGCTACTTACTTAGATCCTTGATTTATTAATTGTGATATTTGGTTATACTGCTATATTTACTTAAAATCTACATTATTAGAAGTCTGACCCTCCTAACTGTTAAGAATAGTCATGTAATTCTATCATTTAGGTAAAATCATCAAAGTGCACCAAATACCATGGTATTGAGTTTGAAGCCCAGCTTGCAGTAATAGCAACCATGGTTTGTACTAACCCATTAAAAATTCTAGTGGAATCTTTCCAACAGAGCCACAAGGAGAAAAAACATCTACACACTGAGGATTTCAGACTACACCGACCTGCAAATTTACATGAATTAAAAACTTGGCTTGGGAAAAGGTTAATGAGTTTTATGGTTTAAACATGTCAATCTTATGTTCCTGTTTCTTTTTGGAGATACAGAGAAACAAATTTGTACCACTAGAATAGCTCTGAGTGCTACAGCGCCCACTTATAGTGACCAGAGGTGTTATTTTTACCACTGTTCATCAGTTTCTTCACATCTGTAGAATCAGTGGAAGTGGTGCTCAACAGCAGATTCTACATATGACCACTCTCTGCAGAATTTCTGGATACAAAACTGGCCACTGATAGAACAGGACAGGCAACTGAAATGTTTTCATTCTGTGGCCTCTTCATGGACCTGAAACAATGAGGTCTGCACTGGCTGAATTACCTGAAGATCCAGCACCCCAATATGACTCAAGGAGACCAATAATTAAAGCACTTACAAGTAAAGCTGAGGCTTAATCGTGAGTCTTTGTAAGGCAGTGAATGAAGTGGTAAATGAAGAAACACAAAAATTGCTGCTGTAACTTAGAAAAAAGGCAGTATACAAAACCTTGAGAAATTATAAGATACTCAACTAGCAAACTGGCCATTTTCTCTGAAAAAAGACACTGCTAACTAAACATCAATATAGATTAACAGTAATAATAATAATAATGAATCAATACTTCAAAAATAATACAAATGCAATATTTTCATACAGTATACAAAGAAAGCCCATCTGCAAATCCCATACTTCTAAAATCAAGTGGCATAAATGTTACTGAAGTATTAAAATAAAGCATTTTGCGCACTTGATCCATGAGGGAGATATTAAGAAAGTCAATCTGGCATTTTTTCTGGAAGATGGTTGCCATATACATTACTATTAGGAGCACATACCAAGCATAATCCTTCAATTACTTTATAATTTTTACTATTACAAGAAAAATCTGTAGCAACCCTAAGATAGAAAACTTCAATATTATCAGAAGAGAACTGAAACCACAATAATGCAATGGAAAGATACAGGAACTGACGTCTTCTGACCACCAGAATGCCCAGCCATGCAGAATGATCTGGTAGGGATAACACTGACATGCAGTCTACACAGAATGGCTGAAGCTGGAAGGGACCTCTTAAAGTCATCTTGTCCAGTCCCTTGCCCAAGCTTACAAACACCTAATTTCACAGAACAAGTTAGAGAATCTGCGAATTATCATTCAAGTGTCCTTAGAGAAGTGCTTTTTCATAATTTGTAAACATTTACTTTGATTTAAACTTCTAAAAACTTTCTTCCTTGACGATCAAACTGGACAAATTTCTGTACAAAAGAAAAATGTGAACATTATTAATAAGGGAACTTATTTAATTGTCCAGTTCAGGAATAGAGTTTGCAAACAAGACAGAAAAGGAGCACATGAACGTCTATGTATATATTCCAAGAGAAAACAGAAGTCCATCTGTTCTGGATGGAATTCCACACATACATGACTACTTGCTGGCTCACATTCCATCAAGGGGAGAGCTTCTGTAGATACTGTCTCCATTTATTTCCTCCAGAAGACTTACAATCTCATGGGAGAACTGTCTGAACAAAGCATGTAGATGATCACAGAAAGCAATCAGGTTGGCCAAGAACGATTTACCTTGATTGAACTCATTCTGACTACTCTAATTTCCAGTAATGAATGAGAACATGTTCTACAGTTGTGATACAGTTCAACTAACTTTTAATAAATGATACTCAAAGCCATGTAGCTCCTATCCTGTAATTCTTAATTTAGGAACTGTTTACAGAGCCCTCACAAACTGAACTCAATGCTGGAAATATTCTGAATAGACATTTTCTTTAGTATTTAGAAAACAAAAACAAAATCTAAATCTAGATAAATACGACTTCAGAGAACAGTTCAATGCTGGTCTACATGCAATCATATTTTGCTGTGATATTTCTGCTACAGAACAAGCTGATCCCATTATAAGAAGCTAAGCAAAGCCATGGGGAGCAATGGTGTGGGAGTAATATAGAGACTACATC